AGCTTCCCTTAGCCCCCCAAAACCCTCAACTACTCCAGGTGTTTACTTTTTGTTGGGGTGCTGTTTAGTACGAAGGGGAGTGGATTAATAGCCCCCCGAACCCATGATGTTCCCACTATATCCTTGTTTTTGTTGGTTCAATCCACGATTATCTTGGATTTGCTTAAGCGGTCTCCCCCCCCCAAAAAAATCCTTTAATCGATTCCCCACATGGTAGATTTCCCACTGGGTTGGGACAATAAGCTAAATCACCGACTAAACAAACCCTGGTTGCTCACAAGGTCATTTCAACAATTGTGGCCATTTACCAGTTATTTTTGTCATTTATAACCCCAGTTATGAAGTATGTAATCCCATCTAAATAACCGCTTATAATTGGTGAAGGGCCATCACTGAAGGTCATTTGGGGGTTTCCTTGAATGGGGGCACCCCAAAATGGATGGTTTATAGTGGAACATTCTATTAAAATGAATGATTTGGGGGTACCCCATTTTAGGAAACCCTCATTTCTGTTGAGCTTGGGGTAGGCTGAGGTCATTCTTCGCCCAGAGCTTCGGTACATCGCCGACCCGCCGAGTCTCGCCGCATCTCAGACTGTCCCGTTGCGACACGACGTTTAAATGGGTGTTTAAATCGATAGGAAGACTTGTGTTCTTGGATGAATTCATGTAAAAATGATGAAATGTGTATATATGCAAACAATGTGTACATAACACTTTATTTTAAAAATGATAATCATAATGATAATTATATACATAATTTCTGTTGATAAATCATTATACACAATGATACTATGTACATGATGATTTCTCATATTATTCAATTTATGGATGCATCCAACAGTCCTGTTTATCCGCAGTGAATGTCAACAAATTTCACTTTACAGTATATAGTAGGAAGTAAAAGGAAATTACATAGGTATGCATTAATGGCCAGGAAACCAAAACACATGGATTGTTAGGTGCCTATATAAATATATATATATATAGTCGGTCCATGTACAACCCCAAACCTACGAATCAATTCCGTGTTTCTAAGTATTCTAAGCATTTCCCAAAGATTTAAGTTCCACAAGTCCAGTATATATCTACATACGTCGATAGCAACCCCTCCAAAAAGTAACTAATTCCCTCCTTAAATAGTGAGAAATATTGATCGAATATGTTTTCTTCATTTATTCCTACAAAATGGATTCATATCGTTGATTTTGCTTTTGTGCATCATTTAAAACATCTAATTTATCTAACATATTGACTGCTTTCTGATATGGTTCTTCGTATATCTAGCACCCCAAAAAGAGAGATAACGAACAAATCCTAAGTATAGTGATACATGTTTAATAATTCTATGTTTTTCAATCTTGTTTTTTGCTACCGAAACTATTCAAGTGTTTGGGACATCCGGAGAAAATAACCGCCCGATCCACACCCATATCCGCACTGCACAACGCGGGGCTGCTGGTGAAATCAGTGGTGAGGCACGTGTTTTTTTCTGGTGGACGTATAGAAGGTGATGTTGCAAAATGCTGATTTAATATGATTTAATGGTGAATTAATAATGATTTAATGGCGATTCAGTGGGATTTCATGGAATCTATCTTAGCTGACTGGATAATTACCAACCGGAACGGGATATTGGGAAATACTTCGATGTAACCAACTAATTCACAATACTGGAAATATAACGGACATATCATGGTACGTAAAAGCAGAACGAGTAAATGTGCCCATTGCATTCTCATTCAATGTCCAGGTACTTCCACCCTACAGTAATCCCATAGGATCCATGGTGCTGCTATATATGGTAACATGGATCCCATCAATATGCCCCCAATGTTAGCATATATACCAGCACCATGGATCCGTCATGGGAATGATAGTAATTACTGTATAGTAACAACCAGCCCATGTCATTCGATGTCCGCTGTAAGGTGCTTGTTGGCTTCTCCAAAGCTTGCCGCCAACCAGCCAGTGGTAGTGGTGGGTGGTACAGCAATAATAGGATCCACCATCCCCAAAATTTACAATTTTTATGGATGGTATAAAATTGTATAAATATCAACCACCAAAATATGGCTCGTTTATGACATTGCTTTGCCAACATCAGGCTGATATGATTGAGAAGATGGAAATTAAGGTGACACAAACACACACACACACACATACACACACACACGGGGAGTTTCATGGAAAAATATCGGAACTCAAGAAGCAGAAAAAATAGATTCAAACAACAAATGGAAATTCAGCACATTAATGTTGGCTGCCTAATAGTAATTAACCCCCCTAAATTTTATTTTTTTGAAAAATATTTTTTTTTGGGGGGGTCAACCTTCCTATAATAATTTTTGGGAATCTATAGCTGGGATCATGGAAGTGGGGGCAGAGGTGGTGGAGGCGACGGAGGAGGACGAGGAGAAGGAGGAGAAGAAGGAGAAGAAGGAGAAGGAGAAGGAGAAGGAGGGCAACAAAATTGGAGTTGCGGAAAAAAGTTTCCACTATTGCCATGCCTGGTGCAGGTTTGTTATTGCTATTCTGGGGCTTGCAAAGGGGGTACCCTTTGTGGACCTGTTTTCTTGCTTTTTTTGATAAGGGTTTTATAAGGAAATCAGCTGTTTGGTAATTCGATCAGATTTCTGGAATCTAAGCTTTTGCTAATCAAATGTGAAGGCTGCTTTGAAAAGGATTTGCTTTACTTGACTCTTTTGGCAATACTAAAAGTAAATAGAGCTAATTGACTTTTAGTATTGGAGAAAAAATTGGAGTTGGAAAACAAGTTTCCACTATTGCCATGTTGGGTCCACTATTGGCCATGCCCTCTGGACAAGGTCTGAACATGAGTCTTTTGGAAATACTAAAAGTAAATAGAGCTAATTGACTTTTAGTATTGGTGCGGAAAAATGTTTCTACTATTGACAAGATATCACTATTGGTCAGACAACATTACACATATTCATGAATATTATTTAACAGTAACCTCGACAATTTGGTGGTTTCTTAAGTCATGGGGGATCCCAGTCGTCACCATGGTTTTCAATACTAATTCATGCGTGCAAAATACCAATATGTTTGACGTGTTGGGCATAGGAGCCAGGGGCAATCGGGAAAGGGGATAGAGATTTGATGAAAAACTGGTTTCCCTATTGAAATGATTTCAAAGATAAATTGATACTAATTTAATGGGATTTCTACATTTAACTGACATTGGATATTTCATATTTGATTGATACACTAATAAAATACGAGAGCGCCCGAGAAAAGAAGACTACTACGGTATAATACAGTCTAATCTCAACCTAATCTCAACCTGATCACAATCTAATCACAGTCTCGTATAGATTTGCAGAGAAGCAAGGCTGCAAAAAAAACATATCCTCAATTTAAATCCCTCGCAGTTGGATTCACCCATAAACAATCTACCTCTTAAGCCAAGAAAAGATGAGCTGCTGGAACTTCCCTATGTTTCAAAGGCCGGTGGTTCACAAAGGAACCCAAGAGACTCACAAGAGAATATGTTGTTGTGTTTTTTCTCCGCTACCGGCAACGTTGGTTTACCAAACAATACCGATTTATTGAAATGTGTTGACAGTTTGCAGCGTTCAAGAGTACCTAAAACAGCTGTGAAATCTTATATGACTTCGTCATTGATTTGCATGATGTTTTGATGTCATCTGGTTTTTAATTCAAATGAGCCGTTTAAATACCCCTATCCCATCTCATTATACTAGTTGGTTGATAGGTTTCCCTACTATGGCAATCATAATCCCCAGTAAACCAGATAGTATAATCCCCTATAGCAATCAATGAACCAAGGTATTTTAATGGCTCACGTATGTTTGTTTCAGCTAAAACATCTTGGTTTTTGACTGCTTCGACCTCTGCTTCCCCGCGTGGCAGCTGCATCTTGCCCAGCTGCGGGTTGGTCAAGGGACTTCTGAAGCCGCTTGAACCACATCCAGGCCCTTGAAAAGGCCCTGTCAAGGGCAACCACATGCTTTGTCCCCAGGTCCACGTGATCAACTGAAAAGATAACTGATTGATGTGACTTCATCCTCGAGACAGCCCACAGGAAAATGGGTTATGTCAAAGACATGGCAGTATGATTACCTCTTATATTTATACCTGCAGCCATTGAGCAACCAAACAAAACAAATACGATTTACAATCAATCAAAAATGGACGTGGGTATGGAAAGCCCGCCATTTGTAGATCAGATTGACTAGAAAACCAGGGGTTGTCCATATCTATGTTGATTTATTTACTGGATGGTACACCAATCATATAACTTAACTGTATCTGCTTGTTTACATACCCTATACCGACCTGAATATATCTTGACTCTCTTAGTTACTTGACTCATGAAAAAGGAACAGACCCCCAAGCCCCAAACAAGTATATAAATGCACATGTCTATCTGTCAATTTCAGGGTCTAGACGGTCTATATAGATATATCATATATCCACATCAGGACAAGGCAGCCAAAGCAAGTTTAACCGAACCTAAAGTAGGTCGCATTTACTGAGAATCTAAGAGTTTTGGCCAGAAAGTTTACCCTCTGGTAACTTAACATAGCTATAGAACATCACCATGTTTGGTAGGTAAATCATGAATAAATTGCCATGTTCCATAGCTATCTTAGTTTATTAAAGGGTATTCTGCAGAGCAAAATTACAACAAAAAAAGAGATTGGCCCTCTCCGAAAACGGTTCTGAAAGGACCGGGGTCAAAGCCGCCACCTCTGCTACCAAACCTGTTGGGGGAATGGTAGCTGAATCCGGAAAAACACCCACCTATCACTAAAAAACCATTCAGGTCCAAGATTTCATGTCTAAAGGATGTAGAATCATATATCATATGCATATATATATATATATAAGCAGAATAGAAAATACCGGACAATACTTACATATATATATATATACACATACAACAGTGATCTAAGTAAACAGTCATGATGAAGGCAATCCATGTATCTCACATGTATCTTTAAGTTGTTGTGCAGCTGACTTCTCAATTCAACTGTTTTTTTACCACAAGTCAATGATACAAAACAGCCGTGTCGCTTCGATGATTCCGCTCAGTACTTTGGGCTTCGCGGTGCCGACTGCCACTGTTTTATGATCAGTTCGTTTTCTCAAGACTCGCTTCTTGCATCAGTTCACTCACCTCAGCGAATGAGGCTTCCGAAAGCTACGGAGCATGGTGGGAGCCCAAAACCCCAGTCCTACACAGCCCAGCAGTTTGGCAACCGGGCAACCGGGAAGCAGTTTGGCATCCCAGTAATCTACAGTAGCAGCCTAGACGGCCTAGGCGCCGTTTAGCAGCTCTTGAGCAGCAGATCAGCAAGCCAATAGCAGCACTGCAGCAGCAGAAGCAGCAGCAGATGGCCTGGGAGAAGGAGAGACAAAGGCAGAAAGCATACTGCGGTAGAAACAAGCATACAGCATGCAAAACATGATCTGTATATATCTATACAACAAGAGTCGGCAAAGCACCCTTGAATTGCACCTAATTAAATAAATGAATCGATGGGACCCTTCCAAAATGCGTTTCCCCCATAGTACGGAGACATTTGAAGGAAAACGATGCGACTAAACCGCTTGCCTGTAGTTATGTTTTTACATGTAGACCGAAATGCAGAAGTGCATGGGACACCAGTTTCGCAACAACTTTCCCAAAATTCAAAACAGCAAGGTACAAAGCCAAAATGTTGAACACGCAACGACTTTCACACTTGGGAGTAAGTTGGTTTTTATAACTCCAATAATACGGTTTATGATGGTTTATGGTAGATATATCTTGCATGGGGTTTATGCATGGGGTTTATAAACCAAGCTATAACTAGGGGACCCCTGGTAGGGAAGCGACAAACCCGTCCCACGTGGGGAAAAGCATGAAGTGATCTCGACCACCAACCAGAAACACTTGATGGGACATCTACCATGTGGACACACTTGAGATCGCAGCCAAAAAAAACAGGCCGGCAAATGGTAGTAGAAGCCTTGACAGGATGTCATACATCCGTTGGGTCCGGACGTTTCAATCCCCACAAAAAAAAAAACACATGGCATCAGCATCTTTTACCATAGGTTGGGGGAGGGGGACGTTGAGAGTTCGTTCACTGCCACGAACTAAATGGAGGTTGATAGCAGGAAAATCATCGAACTAAATGAGGATATTCCAGCCAGCCCTGTTTGATTCCCGGAAGGTATAGTGCTATGCAATGGTTCTCTGTACATCTTGTATGAGAGCAGCAGCATCAACAAAAGAACAACCACAAACACAAAGACAAAGATAATCAATTGTAGCAACATGGCAATATCCGATAAGCATGGCAAGCACTCTCAACATAATCATATGCTGCTAAAACAAAACTCTGGACGTGATATGAATCCAAATGTCTGTGTGAAAATTGCATGAATTATCCTCCAAAGAAGGATCTGCTGCAACTCTTCAGAACCCCTGTGCTTGTGGGCCCTAATTTCCCTGTGGTAGGCCCTCACCCACATGTGTTGCAACAGGCCTGATCCCCAAACCGGTTTCAGGTTTTGTTTCTCAAAATTATGTTTTCTCCAAATCATTAGAACAGATCAACATTTATGCGGATATCGTTTGAAATCCAACCTAGTGATCATGTCAGCAGACCAACCATTTGAATTTCACGAATCACAATGTTTTGTGGCCAACCTCTGAACTGAATAGCCTTCCGTTCCGCCACAAATGGCCAACAAATGGCCGCCAGTTCTGAACGATTCCATGCTCCCAAAGATTTTCCCATCAACATAACCAGGAACAAACAGCCAGATAAACAAACCAACCAGCCACTTGGTCCGCAACCATCAGTCGTATGGATTACTTCTCGCCTTTTTGCAGGTTATCCAAGCAGTTGTTGCATAGCATATTTCTACATCAGTGACATACCACTGAAACCGAAAACATGACATGGAACCAATGGAACCAAGCAAAAAAGAACATTGCGGGAAAAAACATGGTCACCTCTGGTTTCCATATTAGTTTCAGAGGGTGTACCCGTCTGATAGCCGGCTACCCGGTAGGCATTTCCCACAAAAATGACCCAGAGATATCACCCATCTCAACAGCAAAATACTTTAAACATTGATGGTGAACACCCGTATGTTCGTGATAAACAACAATGTGAGGCCCCCAAAATAGCGTTCAGTTGGTTTATAAGTCCAACAACTATGGTTTATGGTATTTAGAACTATAGTTACTGGGGTTTATAAACCAACATTCACATCACCGGGGGGCCTCACATTGCAGAAACCATTGTTTTTTCAGCCAAATATCATATTCAGTCAGTGGTAGATCACATGTTCATTTCATTTTCCCCATCATTTCATCATGTCCCAATCATATCCCATAACATCAACATCTGTGTTGCTCGAATCCCATCAAAAACATTCAAAAACCATCCTTTTTGTTGGTGATTTCACCGACAGTCGATCCCCATGTTTGTTGGTAAAAATCCCATGACTCTCCTAAAGAAATCCGACAAGATCCACATCGATCGTTGATAAACAAAAAAAACATGTCTGGTTGGTGGTATACCTACCCCTCCGAAAAATATGAAAGTCAGTTGGGACTATTAGTCCCAAATGAATGGAAAATCATAAAATTCATGTTCCAAAGCACCAACCAAATGTCTTCCGCAAGCGTTCTCTGTTAATCCAAGCTACAGGCATATCTGTGATAAATGCCTGACACGGCGCAAGGCGCAAGTCGAGTATCCAGGGAAAGAAAACGTGCCCTGCTTAGACCAATACCAAAATGTATCGTATGTTAGACCCGTACCCAAATACACGGGTACAAAACATATATATATAGATAGATAGATAGATAGTCATATTATGTATAGTTACATATTATGTATATATATATATACATACATCTATTATGCATATTATGGTTTGGGGTCAAAACCGTGGTACCTTCCTGAAACGCAAAGTAGGTGGCAAAAGGATGTACATCTCCCCACAATATAGCAATACAGGTTCTGACACCTACCCATAAATATATATATATATAGTACATAGAGATATATGCTGGCATGCCTACATATGTATGTGTATATATTATGATGATAAAACATAGACATACTAGTATATTAGATGTGTATATATATATAAATCAATTCTATAATATATCTATAGATAAATATACATATATATACAGATAGATAGCAAAATAGACAAACAAACAGACAAATAGATATATACATACAGATTATGTCGTATGTGCAAATGATTGTAACTGTATACATGAGCAGCAGCAGGATGTCGAGTCCCTGCTATTGCTTGATACAGTTGATACAGTAGCCATTTCATTATCAGCTGCACATGCATTCTATTCCTCTGGACAAATTGTGATCGTTCACTAAACCGCCATTGTGGTATAGTTATATATATATACATATATAAAATCGTTTCAGTGAGCGCTCCCTCATTCCAATTCTCAGGTTCTGGGGGACCAGAACCTGCGAAACACGGGCGAAACTGAAGCCCATCTTCTAGATGATCAGTCAATTTCCCACAATACCATGTAAGTTTAAAAGGCTGCGGCTGGGGCTGGAAGCTGGTGCTGGGCCAGGGCTGGCAAAAGGAAAATGCTTCAAAACCAGCAGCTTTCCAAAGACGAAAAAAACAACACAAACAACGGAACATGACTTGACTTTATCATTGTCCCCCGAAATGGATGTTTATTTTGTGGAAAATTTCAAACAATACAATGGATGATACCTGGTGGTACCCCCATGACTGAGGAAACCTCCATATATAACCTACAGGCTGGGGCCCCCAAACATTATGTTAGTTGGTTTAAAAACCCAATGAACTAGTTCGATGTCTTTGCTATATCCCATAGTTATTGGAGTTATGTTCGCCAACTTAGCTATCCTAAACAGGGGCCCCACCTTGTATATATATATATACATACATATCCACCATGAAGCCAAATCTTAGCTCTGTGGCACCCAGAATTGCTCCATAAGCAATTCAAAAAATAGACATGTCCATTAAAAAAAAAAAACATATATATATACACCCTCTGGTAAACATACAAAAACTATGGAACATCGTCATTTTTGCATAGGTATGTCAACTATAAATTGCATGTCCAATCGCTTTTTGGACACCGGAAGCCTGGATCACTGTCCAAACACGGTTGATCTTCCTCAAGTCTCCAAGGCCACTACCTCGGTGATCCGCGGTAAGCGCCAGATTTCATGGGATCAAGATGGCCAAGGTGGTAGCTTACTCCACGATTCAACATGGTAGATGTAGTGGTACTTAAAGGAGTTTCAAAAGCCTGAACCTAAAACTGGGGGGACCACCTTGTATGTATTTGTGGATATGTATAGATATCAGGGTAGATAGATTCAATAACTATGTGTGTGTGTGCGTCTTTCGGGCTATGTCTATTGCATGCGTATGTGTACATGTGTATCTATGTATAAAGATACTTGCACACAACAATACAGTAATTATTACGTGCAATCCAACAAACTAACCACATGCTTCTGTGGATGGGCTGCGGGGTTTCAAACGATCTGCAAAACAAGGGCCAACAGCACCACAAATCCGTAGTTCAGGACACTTTGCGTTTGATACTTGATTCATAGTACGTAAATGCACAGTTTTGGCCCTTTACCAGTTATAAGCACTTATAACCCCATTTATGGAATGTAAAATCCGATAGAAATAACCAGTTATAGCTAATAAATGCACTAAACGGCCATAATTGCAACCATTGTGAAATTTTGTTTTCAGGGACCAAACAATTGGAGATGCTTAAACGGCTTAAACTATATGTGGGATTAAACTTGTTGGCCCCCCAAACGTTATAAATTGGTCTAGATTCACCCCAGCCATCAACCATACATCTACCCAGAAACAATCGTTATTGGAATTTGTTTAACCAACATAGCTTTCTACGGCAGTAAAGTTATATACGTCGGTTTTTAAATTACAAAATTAAAACTTATTTTAGGACCTAGAATTTCTGGTGGATATGCAGCTCTCTCTACATTTGCATACACATAAATACCAACAAACATAACTGAGGGGCCCACGTTTCATTGCAAAGTGGTTGCCCCCAGTTATAGTTCTTGGTTTTGTCCAATAAGTAGTTCTCTCTCTCTCTATATATATATATATCTCTACCATAAACCATATTTCACCTTATACAAGTGATGTTTACCAACTATAGCTATTTCAAATCCCATGAAATTCCATTGAAATCCCATGAACTCATTGTTAAAAAAAAATCGCTGCAGAAATCAATGGATTTTCACTACGACCCATCAACAAAAATGAGGAAATTCCATCGCAAATCGATCCAAGGTACCATCCTCGCGCAAGCGACAGCGGTGCAGAATGCGAAGAGGATCCAAACGATAGTGACGCTTTAAGAGTGCCTGCGCCTGGTCGAAAGGTGGTTTTTAAGTAGCGAAGATGGCAAATTGAAACGCTCCAAAATCCATCAAGATCCTAGGGATTCCTAGGTCCTAGGGATTCGCAGCAAAGAATGGGGACTTAAACAACAAAAATTAAATTTCGACCAGCACAAAATGTTTTTGAACCATCAGCAATGAGGATTCAACCAGCAAAAGACAATATGCAGCCCACGAACCCGAATGCAGTCACGTAGAACACACTTTTTTGTGAAACAAATTATTTGGACAGTCTTGTACATGTTTCCCCTGTTACCGTACCAGTGCACTGTAGACTGTGGAATGCGGAAGAGGGTGGAGTGCAAAGTGTGGAGTGTGGAGTGTAAAGTGTAGAGTGTGGAGTGTAGAGTGTGGAGTGTAGAGTGTAAAGTGTAGAGTGTAAAGTGTGGAATGTAAAGTGTGGAGTGTAAAGTGTGGAGTGTGAAGTGTGGAGTCTGGAGTGTAGAGTGTGGAGTGAAGAGTGTGGAGTGTGGAGTGTGGAAAGAATAGAGTGTAAAGTGTAAAGTGTGGAGTGTGAAGCGTAAAGTGTGGAGTGTGGAGTGTAAAGTGTAGAGTGAAAAGTGTTGAGTGTAAAGTAAAGTGTAGAGTGTAAAGTGTCGCGACGTCTCAAGTGCTGTGCCTGCCACGCAAAATGACAATGGATGTCTCCAAAGTGCTGCGCCGGCCACGATAAATGCAACTAAGCTTTTGAAAACGACGCAAAAGTATTGCACCGCACCTGCCACAAAAACACGACTTTCGACGCTTTTTGCAGACGCGTGAGAATGTCACGAAGTGGCACGCCTGCCACGCAAAACCACGTTACAACCTGCTTGGAAACCTTCAACAAGGAGAGGTTTTGCAGCTTCCCCTATAGACACGGCGAGGCCACAGGAAAACCAGAGACTCGAGACAATACATGTTGGAGCATCAAAATGAGCATTTCGTGCGAGACTTCCTCCAATTTTCACACTGTGTAGCTTCAAAATCAACCTTTCCTACGAGTTTTCTTATGAACCCCAAAATGTGCTACCTCAAAATCGATGTTTCGTGCGAGGGTTCCGTCAATTTTCAGCACATCCCACAAAATGCCACGTCTGCCACGGAATTTGCGCATTGTCACCGGGCGCAGCCCTGACAATGCGATTCGCAAAAACTGAGCCGCAAGACAGGTGTAACGTGCTGCGCCTGCAACGAAAACTGCAACGCATCTTCTGAAACCGATGCAAGAGTATTGCGCCTGCCACGCCAAACCACTTTCGACACGTGACGCAACACGTCTGAATGTCACGAAGTGCCACGCCTGCCACGCGAAACAAAGCAACGCGACGCTGGACACCTCCAAAAAGTGTCCCCTGTTGCAGAACTTACCATAGGCACGGCCATACTACGGCCCTCACACGGACACTTGTGGACGGTTGCGAACCGTTGCGCGCCATCGAGCGAACACAACCTCAACCCCCAGACCCCCAGAGTGAAACGGGAACCCTTGCTACGCATTCGGGAAAAAATGGACTTCACCAAAATTAATCCGGATTAAGTAGGGACTGCGGGGTCCAGAATGCTATAATCATCATCCTCAATATTTGTGGGATCATGTGGCACATATGCACATTATATGGGGATCTTGGAGCATTTAAGCCATCAGAAAGGTTATCTCACGCAATTTTTGGGGTATCAAACCCATCTAGATTAAACCCATCTAGATTTGTAGATATCCCGTAGCAGACCTATAAACAAAAGTATTTTGGGCATTTTGGAGATGGTTGCCTTGACTGAGAGTCACTTTAGGTCGCTATGACTTAACCAGTACCCTTGAGCCACAAATATGGTCAAGTGGCATTGGCCATCGTTGGATCTTGTGCCTTTTTTGTGTGCATCCCAATTGGTATGTGGTCAGTGATGCCAACCCTAGATGAATATGATGAATGGCACTTGAATAAATGGAGAAATATTAGGGATTTCATGGGAGTCAACGATGCTTTCATTGGGTGTAGCTGTATGCTGCAACCACAATCGATGTCAACCCAAAAGTTACCCTCCATTGATTTTAAATAGCAATCTGGGGATCATCCACGTAAACAAATACGATAAACCCATCTTGGAGAATCCTAGTATCTGACTCTGCTTGGATTTTTCCTGTGCTGTGTGACTCATGAGCATGTCTCCCTCGGCTGCTTCGGCTGCTCTTTAGGTCGAGGCTTCGGCTTTGGCGATCCACGTGGAGAAGGGGTATAAGTCTCCTCTGAAGTACTCACGTCCCTCCGAACGGCTGGATCAGTGCCTAAAGTCGAATTATCCTCAGGTGGAGAAGGCGGCTCAGTGTTTTGAACAAAAGCACTTGCCTTAGCTTTACCCTTTGGTTGGGCACCCCTATAAGTGTTGTAATCGTCCCAAACGGACCTAGGTGGATCAGGGTCTCCAAATGCTTGCAAGTTAATGTGATCCCTATCAGGTAAAACAGTATTTGCAACAAGATTAGGAGCAGCTCGCAATCCTTCCCCTGTACGGTATCCGTTGTAAAAGGATGTAAAAGGTCCAATTCCTATAGGGTGTATGGGTATTAGCAAAGTGGACTAAGATTTGATTTGCAGTGCAGTGGTTATAGAGAACTCGAAAAACTCTGACCGTCCAAATCAACTCGGCCGAGGTCTGAGAATGATGAACGTATATAAGCCAAAATCGAGCTTCTTCCCACAAGAACCTGCTAACTCGTCGAAGTCTTTCTGCCAGCGTTGAATCAAACGTTTTGTTTGTTCTTTCTTGCCACCCTTTGTGCCGCGGATGCGAGGTGGTCTTGAAGGTGCAGCTGGCGAGTGACCAGTCTGCACGTGACCTGTTGTGTTTACATTTCCAGAATCCAACGGCAACAAATCTACAGCTAATCGAAGGAAGTTTAGAAGTCAAACTTCCGACAATATGGACAGATGAAAAGCAGAGATGGGAAGAGTCAGAGAAGAGAAGAGAAGAAAAGAGAAGAAGAAAGAGAAAGTCTCAGAAGAAAGAAGATCCAGGTGCAAGAGAAAGCCTCAGAAGAAAGAAGATCCAGGTGCGCGAAAAGGTAGGAAAGTCGTGAAACATTGTGTTTCTCCAATGATTTGCGGCTCCGGAGGGTCGAAAAGAGCCAGCTGGCCAGATGAGAGATGAAAAATTGCACGCTGTTGTGGCGCGAAGCACATTTCGAAGTCAAAATGTACAAAACACACGAGGTTCGGACCACTTTTGGAAGTTGAGATATCGAAAAAGTGCAAGCCGTTGTGGCGCGAAGCACATTTCGAAGTAAAAATGATAAAAACACCACATGCTCGGACCACTTTTTGACGTTCAGATGTCGTTTCGCGTGGCAGGCGCAAGGGATTGTGCACCGTGTTAAAAGTGAGCAAAACGTGAAGGTTTTGTCGCATTTCCAGAAACGATGGCAGGCGTGGGCTTTTGAAGAGGATCTGCAAAGATGCATTTTCCGTGGCAGGCGCAGTGCAAGAGACATGTTCATCAGAGCTGTTAGGAAGTCCGGGCACTGATTTCCTGAGAAGGTTGCATTTTGGAGCATTAGATCTTCAGGTTTGCTGAGATGATTTTGCGTGACAGGTGCAGCACTTCGTATGACCTGGCATCGCTTTTTCGTGGCTGGCGCAGTAGTTTAGACAGATGGAGTGGAAAAATTGCAAAACGCATTGGTACGAGGCCGTCAGCTCTGCACTCAGCTTTCCATTTTCGAAGGACGTCTCGCAGAATTGCTTCGTTTTTGATGTTGTCAACTTAAAAAATGAGGAAGTCTCGCAGAGTTGCTTTGTTTTTGACGTTGTCAAGTTCTAAAATTGAGGAAGTCTCGCTGAATTCCTGCGTTTTTGATGTTGTCAAGCCAAGTTCAAAAACTGAGGACGTCTCAAAGAACAGCTTCCTTTTCAAGCTTGCAGACAGATAGACAGACAGACAGACAGAGAGACAGAGAGACACAGAGAGAGAGAGAGAGAGATAGAGAGATAGAGAGATAGAGAGATAGAGAGAGAGAGAGAGATAGAGAGAGAGAGATAGAGAGAGAGAGAGATATAGAGAGAGAGATAGATAGATAGATAGATAGATAGAAAGACAGATTAGATTAGATTAGATTAGTTTAGATTAGATTAGTTTAGATTAGATAGATGGATGGATAGATAGATTGACAGATAGATAGATAGATAGACAGATTCCGCATGTGTCAGCGTGCCAGAGATGGCAGGAAAACGGTATACATGCAGTGATGCGCACCGCGTGAGTGCTGACCGCGTGCGTCTTTTCTGACCGCGTCGGCCGGCAGCCGCATGAAAGATGGGACACATGCAGTGCATGATGCGCGCCGCGTGAAGCTAATGGCTTTGCTTTGACTCCTTCGCAATCGTGTGACGGCATGCCAGACGTTCTTCCTAGCTGTGTTGTCGTGTTTGTGCCGTGCCGTGTCTGTCTTCTCTGACGTCACCGCACGGTCTGCTCGAAGATGCCTGTTCCGGATGTTTGCTTGCCATTTTCGTACTTGTCTTTTCTGACGGTACGAAGTCACGGGCGTTGCTCGTTCTCTCCGCGAACACACGGCAAAAAAGGTTGAGTTGTTTGCACCCAAGGGATCGTGCTAGAGCGATGTCTCACATTTTGAAGTTTTGTAAGTTACACCACGACTGAAACCAAGGGTTTGTTCGCTCCGTGTCTTGTCTGTTCAAGTGTTGAAATGACTAGGTGGAAAGATGAAGAACTAGATAGATGAATTGGTGAAATGCTTCGGTACTTAAATGGATAGAATGGATAGCTGGATGGCCAGATAGACAGCTAGACAATTAGATGGACAGACAACAAGACACATAGAGAGACAGGGAATTGGACAGATCTCGAAAGAGAGAAGTAGAGAGAAAGATAGACCGATGGACAGATAGACAGAAATAGGATGATGGATGGACGGCTGCATGGACGGAAAGAGAGCTAAGCAGATGGATGGAAAGACAGAGAGATCAGTAGAGAGAAAAGAAGGATAGGTGGATGGATGGATAGACAGATAGACAAATGGATACTTCGACATTCCAACCACCTGGCGGTCCATCCGTGGATTCGCTCTGCCATCTGTGATTCGACATTCCCACCACCACCACCACTACCATTACTCCTACACCTACTCCTACTCCTACACCTACTCCTCCTACTCCTACTACTACTACTACTGCTACTGCTACTGCTACTGCTACTGCTACTGCTACTGCTACTGCTACTGCTACTGCTACTGCTACTACTACTGCTACTACTACTACTACTACAACTACAACTACAACTACAAACTACAACTGCAATACACCACACATCCAACAGTTGTGGTGAGAGGACCACTGCAACTATTTCAGCCATTGCAACCACTCCAAAAAACACAATTCCAACCACCTGTCGGTCCATCAGTGGATTCGCTCTGCCACCCGTGAGTCACAACAACCAACTGCTCCAATAGTTTTCCTATTTTTGAAACTTCCGCCACCGCCTTGTGCGGTACTACTGTGGTACTTGGGACCATCATATTAAATCATATTCAATCACCTTAAACCACCTTAAACCCCCATACGGGTTTGTCCAAAAAATAGGGTAGCCCTATAAATCCATTGGTCAATCACCATATTTTTCCCTATAAAAAAAACTACCTATTTTCTGAGAAACAATGCAGTATACACCATTTTCAGACAAACAAAAATATGGATCATGGGAAACAAAAAAACATAAAACATGTTCAATATGTTATTTATAACCCTATATAAATCACCAGCTATAACCAACATTAATCACTATTAGCCACTATGAACCACTATTAACATTTATTAACCACTATTGGTCACCATTCATCACTATAGAAATCACCATAGGAATGGCCATTTCACTGTAGATAAGGATAATCTAGGATGTAATGGTGATTTACTAATGAATTAATAGTGATTTAATGGAATTTAGATGGTTGTAACTGGTAAATGGCAATTTCACTCTAAAATATATTACCCATTCATATTCCCATGCAAAAACACCAGTTAAAATCCCATTATCCCATAATCACCATAGAAGTCGCCATAGACATGGCGGCATAAATCCTCTGGATCCTCCCGTTGTCGACCGTAACTGACTTCGCCTCCTGAATCCAGCGCTCCTTCGCGCTGCTGGCCGCCGAGGGCGGCACCGAGCCGGTGGCGGGACGCCAACCGCGGAGGGAGGTGCACCTCGGCCGAGGGCGCCGATGGTGACTCAATGGACTTGAATGGGGCCCCATTCTGATGGCGTTGCATGGCTCGTTGAATTTGGGATGCCAAATGAGATTTTTAGAGGAATTCTAGGGGATGCCAGTTAAATGGTACTTGGATCAGAAAGTGGTGAGTGTTTGTAGGGCTTCACCCAGTTTGAATGGGATACCAATAGTAGTTTGGGCACTTATTACAGTTATGGCCATTTACCAGTTATAAATGGTTATAACTGGCTATTTCAATCAGATTATACATAAACAACAAATGGGGCGACTTAGTGACTTATGACTGGTATTTTGGGCCATAACTGTGATTGTATGGCCAGTCAGTTATAACCCCATTTGTGGTTTATGTATAATCCCATTGATTCATAACCCATTGTAACCATCATTAATCACATGTTTAGCCACTATTAACCACTATTAACCACTAAACATCACCATGAATCACCATGAATCACCATGGCCTTTTCACGATACATCGTGGCTTGAATCCCAACGGCCACAGTGGTTGGATCCCTACAGCTATATCCAGCCAACCCTGCGACAGCAGGCCATCCCAATGCTCGAAAAGCCCATGGGGTTTGATTAGTAACTGGAAAAAAAACAACATCGGATTCTCATGGCTTCAAGATTGTTAATATAAAGGCATTTAATAGGCTATTTAATGATAACTATAGCATCTAGAATTTAGTCGGATAGTTGTCATGGTAACTTGATGATTATATTTAATGGGACAGCCCACTGAAGTGTCCTGAAACCTGGGAAATCCGCCGCTGGGGGCCATACATGGCCACACAAGAATTAGTAAATCCTGGCTGGTGAGAACAGTTAGTACGGGGACTTCAAACTTAGGAACTCACTGCTAAGAAGTCTTTATTTTCAGCTGGGCATAGGGTGCTCGAATATTCAAATGTTTTGAAATTAAGGTATTGGCTTCTTGATCTCATTATCATATAACTTGTTCTGCCAGGCAATACTTCCACTAGATCAATTCTTCACATGAGTTAGCTTGCTCCGTTGAGACCACTACTTGGATCTGCATCCTTTGGCACGCGGCATCTCAAATGGGATAATGCACAACATAAATCAAATCCCATCCACCCTTTTTTAAATTTGGACAAATAGGGGATCTCAAAATGAATCGATCCGAGTGATAAATATTGGGAGGAATGGATTCTCCACATACATATGTTTTCTATATATGTATATAATATATAGTCATCCTTGAGTAAATAGATCATGGACATTGCAAACAAGGCCTCAGTAAAATTGGAATCTTATTGAACATATCATATTCTATCTACTTCAGGATGATTATATAACTGGCTGGTGGTTTTTAACCATATTGAAAAATATGAGTTCGTCAATGGGGTTAGGATGACATCCCATAAATGCCATATATCAAATGGAAAATAATCAATTCATGTTTGAAACCACCAACCATATATATATATATACTATAGTTATATCATGTTATAGTTATATCATGTTATATCATAAATATATATATATATATACTATATTTATAAATTGTAGACATCGCCCAGCCCCATCCGGCCCCACAACGAGCAAGGCACAACTGTGCGATGGAGCCGAGAAAGTGATACCATTGCCTCGGCACAAGTTTTCACCATCCCCAGGGCCCATGGTGCTGGTATATATATATATATATATATATATGCTAACGTAAAGGGGGTATGTTGATGGGATCCATGGCACACCACATATAGCAGCACCATGGATCCTATGGCTTATATAATGTGATATATATATATATATATATTGTATGATAATTATAGTCATACAAATCAGGAGTCAGAATTGATTTATGGTAATGGGAGCTCATGGGATGTTTAAGTTGAAATAACTGAAATAACATTCCCATATACTCCATAGTGCTGGAATATTTATCAACATTCACCATCATTTACACCAAATATCTCCAAATGTGGGTAAATATATGATAATATATGCCATACATGGCGCATCTGGGATTTGCAATAGGGGTCCCATAGGCCCTATGCTGCTACCAAGTTCAATCCTCCCAGCCACATAAAATGCAAGGTGGGGCCCATTGGATAGCTAAGTTGGTTTGTAACTCCAATAACTATGGGATGTAGTACATATCTACGTGTAGTTTGTGGGGGTTATAACACAACCATCTCACCGGGCCACCTTGTGGTGATGCTCATATATGAGAAGAAAACCGTATAATTACAGCTATGGTCATTTATTAGTTATAACTTATAACTGGTTATAAATGGGATTACACATTCCATAAATGGTGTTATAAGTGCTTATAACTGGTAAAGGACCATAACTGTAGGACAATATGTGAGCGAAAAGGACATATCGACTGGAATCTTGCTTTTTTGTAGTTCACGAAATATCGCTTGGTTTGGGACAGGTTCTGCCTTTTTGCCTGGCGAACCATTTCTTGGGGTCCACAAAAGGAAGACATACACATCAAACAATTAGGAAAAAGGTAGGAAATCACTTCTGCAAATGACCGCTGACCATTGAGATCCATTGAGATATTAGTCCATATCTACCGTACTCACGACACTAACTAACTTCTAGCCATGAACGACAGTGACCACCAAGCGGGACCATCTCGTGTAGTGAAACACACCCAGCTATAGCTGGGTCCCGCTGGCTCACAAGATTAGCGTAAAAAATCCCGACGAAACACCATGGTTTCTGCGGGAATGTTGTATATATATATATAATATGCATGTACGTAGAGGGGTCTCTTAAAATGGGGGATCCCCAAGTCACCATGGGTTTCAATACCTAATTTGGATGATTTGGGGGTACCCTCATGACTAACCTCCATATGTAGTCATTGGCTCCTGGCTTGCCACCGCTCGTGCTGCCGGCGCCCCTGCTGGTATATAGGCGGCCTCTTTGCCCCCGCGGGTATGGCCCGTGTTTGCACACTTGTTCGTGCCCTCCCCTCGCCGACCACGGCTTTCTGCTCCTATTACCCATAGGATCCATGTATGCTATACATGGTAACATTTACATACATTTACCATCCATATACCCCAAAGGTTAGCATATATATACCATACATGGATCCTATGGGTTATAATCTCTGCCGCAATACCGGCAAATAGCCGCCTCATCTTCCTCGTCATCCCAGTGCTTATAGACCGACCAAAGTACAGGTCGCACTGGAGACCCCGCAAGCTGCGGATGATCAGTCCACGCAGCCGATCCACCGGCGGACGAACCTCCGGGAGGATCAACCCCAGGGAGACAGGGCTGACGCGTCTCTTGACGTGGCAATGACGCACTCGTCACGACAGTTAATCCTCAACGCGAGTGCACCAACCAAAAGGAGGGATCCCAAAGGATATCGCTGAGGACGGTGATCACCCACGAAAAAGCACACGAAGCCGGAGGCCTCTCTGCAAAAAGAGTGAAACAAATGATCCCGAAGCGACAACACACGAGCAAAATGCTCTAAGAAGGAGACTACCTGCAGATGTACCCCGTTTCGGCTGTTGATCATGGGGTTACTCAAATTAGCCAACCAAAATAGATCTTAATCCAGGGTTGACATTGCTTGTGGTCAGTCCCATGACATCATGACATAAAATCACCATGATTTCGCCATTTAAAGTGCCACGAAATCAGCCTCTAACTCTCCAATGGCAGGGTAGCCACCATGACCCAGTGGACCCAAACGACAGCTCACGGCTCCAAGTCACGTGCGTTTGGAAGTGTATGCCATGGGGTAGGTGCACAAAAGGCTTCCTGGTGGCCGAGGCGGCTGGAAGAGATTCAGAGAAAGAACAGCTTGGTACCAACTTAAGGCTATTTGAAGCTATTTCAAGCCATTCAAGGCATCACATGGCATCACTCGCACCTATCGGTTCTTGGGTTGCAACCTGTCAGATAGTCCCTGGAGGGCGTGCTTATTGGGAGCTCTATCATCTCAGACATCCAAGTATTGCACAAAAAAACAAGAAGCAACATAAGATCTTCCAATGGGGTATCATATCAAAACCAACATCATATACTTTTCTAATATCTAATTGGGTATTATAGCAGAAGTGGTATCTCAAATAATTAGGTCAAAAGCAATTGCAAGAAATGTATAGAAATGTCATGAAACAAAACTAGCAACATATCAAGCATGACTAAGAATCTCAGCATATTTCATTGACATTCTACAATGAGGGGACCCTAAACGTTATAAGTTGGTTTATAAACCCCATGAACTATAGTTACTTGCGTATCATAAACCCAAACGTTATTGAAGTTATGTTCACCAACTTAGCGCGTTCGGGGGCCCCACATTCTATGCCGCACCACTTTTAGGTCGACATGAATGTCAATGAAACGGCTGGCTGAGGGAGGGATTCATCCGGTGTTCCCAACCGTCAGACCATCCCGTTGGCTCTAAACAGTCCTAAGCATAACAGAAGCGTTCAAAACATATATCATTATCTCAATATGACATATATCCATATATTATCTATATACATGTATTATATATATATATATATATATCATATTATAAATATATATATATATATATGTATATATATCCATATATTATCCCAGTAAACCCCATTTGTCCCCCAGCCTGGTAATAGAACAGGGGCAGTTAAGGCTCGAAATGCCAGTTCTACATCAGTGAAATAACCCCAGTTATAACCAGTTGTAACCCTAGCAGGCACTACGAGGTGGCGCCCCCAAGCATTATGTTCATTGGTTTATAAGCCCCAAAACTGATAGATATATTTACCATATTCAATAGTTACATATATATATATATATATGTATATGTATATAGTTATTGGAGTTATGTTCACGAACTTAGCGTTCTCGTTGGCCCGGGAGCCCACCTTCTATGACTCTGTCCCCGGAAGCCCAGCGAATCTGCGGCCGAGGGTACGGAGGCCACGCAGAAAACGCCAACTTTGCCAGTCATCGATGGGCATCGCCGCCAACATCAATGTCGCGAAAAGCTCCGGGATGTTCCGGGGTTCCTTAAGGCGACTTGGTGGATAGATGTTGAAAATGATTTCTCCACCATGGTTTATATTATGTTAATACATGTTAATAATGAATTATTGAACATATATCATAATCCCCACTAAGCCATGTAGCAGAACTCACTATCATGATCAATTAACCAGGGTATCTTTCATAACTCAAGTGTCGCGGCGATGAAGATACAGGTCGCGAGCATGACTTTCAAAAGGATTGCAATGGGGATAGTACCTAGTCACGATACGGCGTGCCACAAAGCTAAGTGGGGTTCATGGTGGTTATAAATATTCAAATATATATATAATATAATACATAATAATAGATAATTATAATAAATAATATGTAGTATATAATATGTAGTATATAATATGTAGTATATAATATGTAGTATATAATATATTATATAATATACTATATACACATATATATATATATATAATTATTCAAAAATAATATACAAGATGGGCCCCCAAACGACAGCTAAGTTGGTGAACATAACTCCCATAAGTATGTCTTTAGAGGCCCTCGTCCCATCCCGGACGCCAAACAAAAATCGGGGGATCCTCTGGGGGGGGGCGGAATCCCGAAGGAAGACCATATGGGAGGAAGACGACAGTCCCAAAGATATTTGCTACCCTCTGGTAAACGTTAACAGCTTGCTATTGAAAATGGCCCAGTCGAAATAGTTGATTTACCCAGCTATAAAATGGTGATTTTCCATAGTTATGTAAACGTTTACCAGAGGGTAAACAAGGTGAATCATTGAAATTCATTGAAGGGATGGACTTGAAGGACATGTCTGAAGCCAGCATATAGCGATTTTTTTTGCAAAGAACATAACATGGGTTTGTCTGAAAATGGGGTATACCCCCCAACATGTTTATCTTTAAATATCGGGAAAACGATGACTAACATGATTAGATTAAGCATCAATTTTAGGGGTACCAGTACCTTGTTAGACTGTGGTCGCCAGTTTTATGGCAAAAGATCGCAGAGCAACTGACCCCAAACAACTACGCCATGCTTCTGTTTTGATGCTTCCCAACTCCCAATCTGCGTTCGCCACGCAGCCTCAAAGCGGATTCAAGGAATCCAGCAGAAATGATATCTGATATCCCAGCCAAGACAGTCCCAGCCAAAAGCAGACATTGATACAGCAAAAATGACATGTCCCAGTTATAAATGGGATAAGTAGGGTTAATCCACTTATAACTGGGGTTATAACCCACTTACTAAGTATGATGAGCCACCAAGAGCAAAAAAAATGTTTGGATACAGATGTAGAAATGATACAGCCAGACAGCTCGAGCCAAAAACATCATGTTGGAGGATCATCCTGCAACCTGATGCCCCCCGTGAAATGCTGGTTCAGTTTCACCAAAGCAAGTTCGATACATTTACCATTAGCTAATAGCTATTGGAGTTCTCAGCCAACTCATTAAATCCACTTAAATCCCACGGAATCCTACAAAAACCAATGAAATTGTCATTTTTGCTGGTAAAATACTTGTCAAATTAGCCATATTTATTTCACCAGCTTGATATCCTTGGGGGCCGCACTGGCCGCGCTCAAAGCTGTTTGAAAGCGCCGGGGTGAGATTACAAGTCCACGAGATTACAAGTTACATGGCCCTAGAAACCACTAATAAATGATATATAAATGGCTATTGAGATGGGATTATACATAAACCAGAAGGTTTGTGGTTTTCCGTGACAAACAGAACTGGTACCAGTATAACTCAGGCCATGTTGCTATGATGATCCTCCAAGTACCAACTGGAACCAACGGTTTTCCTATTGGCAATGGCCACTGGCCAGGGCTCGCGAACCGGACTCGACCTAGTTATGAACCAACTTAGAGAAAAAAGCGTGCCACCTGGAAATATGTTTCACGATCTCTCCATCAAGGAAAAACGCATCAAGAATATCCATGAATCACAAAACCTCCCAATCAAAACCCTAATGGAATGCACTTGAGTGCGGGGTCTCTTTTTTCAGGGGCGAATAGTAAGTGGGTTTGTTCACCCCAAGTATAACTGGACTAACCCTACCCTACAAGGTCTAAGGTGGGTCCTCCCAGTTGTAAGTTTGTTGCAAACCCCATGAAGCAATAGTTATTTCCTCAAAAACCAAAATTTTCACCAAGTTATAACATTTAAGCCCCTTGTGCCTACCCTGCTAAGTTAGGGTCAAAATACACACACACACACGCCAGTTATTAGTCCGTTGCCAGTAAATAAGTTATAACCCCATTTATGGTTTACGATATCCCTGTAACAATAACCAGTTATAGTGATAACCATAAAAAACTGGTATATCGTTCACCATAACTGGGGGCCATCACTACATCATCTCCATCCCCGATCCCGCGAACTTCCCCTTCCCATCGTTGTCACCTTCTCTTAGGTGGTCGGGGTGGGTCGGATCGTTCCTTAGAGATACGTCGAAGATCGACGTCGCGTTCGTGTTGAAGATCTACAAGGTGGATCAAGGTGGGGGATCCAAACAATAGTTAAGTTGGTAAACAGAACTAGCTTTTTCATGGCCAAAGCATGCTAAAACCAGAGATATTATGTGTATAAATGTGTATAATATACTGTATATACATACTAGTAGTTTATAGAGTGTTTATAGATGTTCATCGAATTTGTTAACGAACAAACGTAAGTCGGTGGCACCTTCTTGTACGGATGCAATATTTTAGTATTTGGGTATACATTGATATGGCCAGTTTGATAGGGGGATGATGGCGGATGATAATAATCTTCTGGAATGAGAGGTGCTGAACTCTTGGACAAACCCTGTTACATCCATTGATGGTGTATATACTGTATATATGATGAATGGTATATACACCATCATATATCTGGAAATGATATGGTATATACAGTATATACACCATCATATATACACCATCATAATATATACTGTATATACTGTATATACTGTAAAAAACTCACAACAGATCTGAAAATTGTGTGGTTTCCCAATGAACATGATCTATGTGTCCCAAGCCATCCACCTAGCCCGTGGCTTTCCACCTCCAAGCGTCAGCACCGAGACCAAAGACGTCAGAACCGAACGTAGGGTCAACGCCGGAGACCATTCCTCGGCTAAGGCGCGAGATCTTCAAGGTGGGAAAGGCTAGTTGGTTCACCAAAAAGGGCCAGCTGTAACTCATAACGACCTATTGGCCATTAGGGACAATACACCTATTTAAGAGGCTACATCCATGGGAATAGGATGTATTCTATGAATTTTCAGGATTTCATAGGATGTATTATTTCAAAACCATTCTATGGAATACATCCAGGAACCAACTATAGGTTGCCTACGGTAGGTTTTGACTAGCCATACTGCTTCGAAACCTAGATCATGGAGACTGCCAGCTGATAACCGTGATCAGTTTTCCAACCTGGGTATCAAGAGCTCCGAGGAGCTAGTACCTTAGGTTCCCCAATTCGACAGTAGCGTGTCAAACAAAATCACAGTAGCGTGGAGGAGATCAAACATAACCCATAGGATCCATGTATGCAATATATGGTAACATTTACCATCCATATATACCCCAAATGTTAGCATATATACCATACATGGATCCTATGGGTAATGTTTGATATGTCTAGTCTATTACACCTATGGACACCATTCCAAAAAAGTCCCAACAACCAGTCCGAATGGTCTACGTTGGCTACTGGTAGACACCTCCCAGTCCGCAGGATGAACAAACAGGTATATGCAGAGTCACAAAAATGCACACAATATGACAATGTGACAATGTATCAATGTATCAATGTATGTATGTGTGTATGTGTGTATGTATGTATGTATGTATGTATGTATGTGTATGTATGTATGTATGTATGTGTATGTATGTATGTGTATGTATGTATGTATGTGTATGTATGTATGTATGTGTATGTATGTATGTATGTGTATGTATGTATGTGTATGTATGTATGTGTATGTATGTATGTGTATGTATGTATGTATGTATGTATGTATGTTGTGTTGTGTTGTGTTATGTTATGGTATGTTTTGTTATGTTATGTTATTAATGTAACGTAATGTAATGTAATGTAATGGAACGTAACGTAATTAATGAAATGTAATGTAAGGTAACGTAATGTAATGTAATGATACACACATGCATATATATATATATATATGTATGTTTACATGTGCAAGCAACAAACAAAGTTGGCGATAACCCAAGTATACATGGGATATAAGAACGACTTGATATACCAACCAGGGTTCAAGTTGGAATTTGACCAAGGATTATGTGGATTCAAACCACCACCACCACCACCAACAACAACAACAACAACAACAGTTCAGCAACTAATGTCATCATTGATCATAATCCTTACAAATAAATATCATTACAGAATGTATTCAACAACAAAATCACAAACACATATGCTCCATGCATGGACTGTGACTATTTACCTCCATGTGGATCACTCCGGGGGTCAATGTTGGCAAATATGCCATACATGGAGCATTGCGGAAATGTGACATTCACCCAATGCCGAAAACGTACCATGACTGCAGGGATATGCCCTTAGATGTATATTATATATATATAAATGTTGCGCATGTAATTTTATAATATGGTTTAAGCATATCTATAAATGGGGTTGACTCGTATAAGTCATGCTATATATATATATACATATATACATAATTTAAATATATATATATATTTATAGATAGGGAGATATAACATCAGATAGGATATATATATAGATTAAACAAATACAAACAATAGCGAAAGTAGCTGCTTTTGTTTTGACCTGGAAAACATTTTTTATTGCAGGACCTTTTTTTCTGCTTAAGTGAAACACAATTTCCCGGGAAGCATGGCTGCAGCTGCAAATGTTTCCACATAGTGACCGGAAAAGGGATTGTAAACGCATATGTGCTAAAAATGTTTTTCCACATCTATACAAAATCTCTTCCAACTTTCAAAACTTTGGGATGTGTTTCCACCAAAATCAGGAAACGCGTGTGTGTTTCTGAAAAAAAACAAAATGGAAAGGGAACGCGCTTGTGTTTCCATCTCTCACCACCATCCAGTTCGGAAACGCGTGTGTTTGTGTTTCCTGAAGATTGATGGTCGCGTTTTTGCCATAAACTCTTCACATTTCGAGATCAAAAACTAAAAAGGCTACGGCGCGGTTAGCGACCCGGGGTAATTCATTGATTTTTCATGATGCTTGGTTCACCAAATCATGGTATTTGCAATGTTTTGTAAAAACGTGATAAAAATGTCAAATCGTAGTTACTTTGGGGCCTACTACAAAAAGTGCGTTTCGTGTGAAACGTTCATCGATTTTCAATACCCCTGAAACGAATTATCGTTTTTTTTCGTTTTGTTGGAGAAAAATAGTTACATCTGACCACCAGTCATTGAGCAACACTTCTTTTTCAACTTACCTTGCAAGGTCTTCAGCGTCGACTCTTTTTGGCCAGCTTTCCCAGTTCCTTCCGCAGGTTATGACCTGAGTTGTGTCTGTACATGAAGGCTTTAATCTGGTCCAGCAAGCGCCGGTCGACACGAGTTCGCAAACCAACGAATTGTTTGAGAATTTTCAAAAAGCTATCCAACAGCTGGGTTTCTGTAAAGAGTCTTTTCCTAGGAACCTTCTTCACAAACTGCATTCGACTATGTGATACAGAGGAAAACTGAAAACCGGCCTTTTTGGCCTCCGCCTTCCACCCCAACCCAGTGACGTGACGTCAGTTGTGCATGTGACGCAAGTTAACATGAACGTTAACATCCCCACCCCACCCCAACCCAGTGACGTGACGTCAGTTGTGCATGTGACGCAAGTTAACATGAACGTTAACATCCCCACCCCACCCCAACCCAGTGACGTGACGTCAGTTGTGCATGTGACGCAAGTTAACATGAACGTTAACATCCCCACCCCACCCCAACCCACTGACGTGACGTCAGTTGTGCATGTGACGCAAGTTAACATGAACGTTAACATCCCCACCCCACCCCAACCCAGTGACGTGACGTCAGTTGTGCATGTGACGCAAATTAACATGTTAACATCCCCACCCCACCCCAACCCAGTGACGTGACGTCAGTTGTGCATGTGACGCAAGTTAACATGAACGTTAACATCCCCACCCCACCACAACCCAGTGACGTGACATCAGTTCTGCATGCATCAATTTCAAGAGCAACTTGCCTCCAATCAGCAAAAATGGCAAAAACGCAGGGGTCGTTAATGGCGCCGTAGGCAAAAACTAAGAAACGACGTGCAGCGGAAACACATGACAAATTGAGACAAAATATGTAAAATTGGACGCAAAAAAGATACTTAAGATCTTAGAAGGTATAACTTAACTTACAAAAACCAAACTAACCAAGCTTAACATACCAACTTAACTTCCCAACAAGTCCAACTTTATAGACGTTCCTTATTTTTGTTCAACTCAGGGCGCCTTTCCGGGCCTCGGCCCCTTTTTGGGCCTCGGATGGCCTCGGCCGAGGCACCGACTTCTCGTCGTGTTTCAAAATATCGAGATCAATGGAGCCGTCGTCGCGGATCAATGGATGAGGCACCTGGGATAGATGAGCAGAAAATTGAGGAGTCACTCCGTCATGTCATGATAATCTAATAATTAATACGTATATATATTTTTATATACACATATATTATATCTTTAATATTAACTAAACTATGTGTATATATATATATAATATTTATGTATAATAATGAAAAATAATGATGTATAATAAAAGAATCCTGCAGAATCCAAATCGAAAGTTTTGAGCGGAATATGTCGTGATTGCTTGGTTTGTGAGAAACGCTGCGGGAATCATGAGCGAAACGCCCAAACTTTCAAGAAAATATGTGAATGAGGGATGGTGATTTGAATTTGAACCAAGCACTGTATGACCAGACTGGATTGTAAAATCCAGTTAGCACACTGGACATGATAGATGTACTATAGAAATATATCTGGGCTGGAGGCCCCAATCCAACGTCTACTTGAATCAAATATGTCCACATCAAGCACCGCTCAAAGGCGAACCGGCAAACATTGAATAGCATATGCAACAAATCAATCTACCTCACATTTGAACACATATTGCGTCTAAGTGGCACAGCCCGGGAAAAAAAACACATCCAACCAGTCAAATCCATTGAGGTTTACACAGTTGCCATACAACTGAAAAAAAACACGTCGGAAAGCTACAATGTGAGGCCCCCCCAGTAATAAGTTGGTTTAGATTCGACCCAGTAACTAGTTCGTCATAAATACCATAAAACCATAGTGAAATTGGAGTTATTTGCACCAACTGAACGCTATCCAACGGGGGCCTCACATTGTAGGCTTAATCATCCCAGTAAAAAAAGTGGGATAATGGCTTAAATGTCCTATTATCCATTACTATCAACCATTATCAACCATTATCCAGGACTATAAAACTAATTAATTCCCCCCATCGGTTCAACCAGGTCCAGCTGCGCGCGAGATGAATTTCAAATCCATCGGACGGTAGGGATATGTATCACGATACCTCAGATGCGAGGCCGCCGCATCTGCAAGTTGTGGCTGGGTCAATAAACTTGTCTGAACATTTGTATGTATATATATAATACTGTATATGTATACATATAGATATAAATAAATATAGATATATAAATAAATGAATCAATATAGATATAGATATATAGATATAAGAGTTGTTTTGCAAATTCTCATCAAATGCTTTTGTTACTGGACTGCACAAATGGCAAGTTGAAGCCACCAACCAACATAGGAAACATTTAAACATAACATAACCCGTTGGATGCAAGCATTGCCTGTGATGGAAGTGGAGATTCAGTGCCATGCAGCATGGCCTGAAGATTCTATGCACCACAACACATCCACATCCACATGTTCATTCTCATCATCATCCTAATGCCAATAATAATGCTCATTACAACAACAACAATAATAATAGTAAATGATAATAATAACAATAAATCATCATCAACATCAACATCCAACATCCAACATCCTCGTCTTCACTCCACTCGCTTTTCAGTGCTGCCAAGCAACGTCACGCTGATGAGCATCGGCACAGAGTGGCTTTGAGGACTAACAATCACTGCATGGACCCTCACGGGCCAAATGGCATCCTCATTTAAGCATACCTCGCTGCAGCTGCTGTGTAAGGCAGATAAAGGGAAGTGGCTGGGAAAACAACCCTTTTGACATTTGAAGCCATGTGTTTCTTCAGTCACTGAAGATCATCATCCCATTTTTCTGTGAACAGGACAAAATCTGCACCTATGGGACCGAGTGGAGAAAAGTGGATGAGTGACCTATCACATTGCAGGTGTAATAAAATGACGTTATCCCATGGATGAGTGACATCTGAATAGATTACCGTATAAATTCTAAATGGTTCAGCAATATGAAAAGTACGGCCAGATTGGCACGATCCCGTATACCAACCATCATTGATTTATTTATAGTGACATCGCAGAGAGGTCATTATTCATCCGCACATTAAATAAGAAAAAAGCACATACATCTGTATACACCAGCATGCACAAAGTTGTCCTAGTGGCAATATGGCAAAGTCCAATCCACTTTGAAAATCTTCGAAAGAAATCCACAAAGCCATACAAAGCCTCGATATAATGGTTAGGATCAGATCATACGCCACGCTATAAGATCTTCTTTCTTTAGTTGATTTGCAAAAAACAAAACAAAAAACATGTGGCTGTGCTGGAGAGATTCCAAGTAACATACCATTCCGGCAAATCAAGACATGGTATCTGGTTGTTGGTTTCAAGCCCCTAAAAGGGTTAAACATCAGAAATTCTTCCATCATCTCTACAAACCAAGTTGTTCTTGGAGATATTTGGATATATATCTGGTTGGTGGTTGAGCCACCCCTCTGAAAAATATGAGTTCGTCAGTTGGGATTATGATTCTCAATATATGGAAAAAACCACCAACCAATATATATATATATATATTCACAGTATTGCTGGTTCACCCTTTTTATTACTGGTACGAGTACCCCCTGGTTATTTAACATAGCCATGGAAAATGGCCCATTTATAGATGGTTTACCTATTAAAAAGGGTGATTTTCCATGGCTATGTTAAATAACCAAATGGTAAATCCTCCATTGTTCCAAACACCAGCATTTCAGGGGCCCCGACAGCTGGCACATAGATGCCAAGATCAGGCTCCTTGGCGGAAGATCCCTCGCTATGCGCTAAGCGCTAGGATGCGGCTGTATGGTTGCTGCATAGTCCGCAAGTGTCCGCAACATAATAAACGATACTTATACCCATAGGATCCATGTATGCTTTAAGTATGCTTTATATGGTAACATTTACCATCAATATACCCCCAATGTTAGCATATATACCATACATGGATCCTATGGGTAATAAAGAATCAGAAAAATTGACTAGTAATGATTCAAACATCAATGATATCATCCAGGGTAGGATAGTAATAAACGAATATAAACGACACTTATATAATAATGATTCATCAGCCAAGGTTTTGGCTCTGGTAAATATGAGCACTGACGGCACTGACCATATTACATGAAACAAACGGTCAAGTTACTCGGGATTTTTACATGTGGCCACGGAGCATCGCAGTATCAAGCCATGTCAGTTCAACCATGGCGCATATGGTGGGTTCTCAGCGACCCATCTGAAAAAGTGATTGCAACTTCCGGGGAAAAACAGAACAAATGCGTCGGTTTCCAGGGCTTTGATTTGAGATGAGTAAATTCCGAACAGAAGTGTGTCATCTTCTAATTCTATACATAAAAAATGGGTTTAGCGACATACCTTTTTGTTGGTAGGGACACTATGTCCCAAGTAATCGAGCTTCAGTATCTGCAAAGATAACTGACAGTTGCTGCCACTCAGTGCTTGTACAAAAAGTCCTTCATGATATCTACCCAGGGTGAACCAGCGTTGAAGTCCAGCTATTAGGGCGGAACGAGAAAGCCAGCAAGGCACTTGGACAGATCGCCAACGTAGCCTTCCTTCTGACATACAGGATGTACACATCAAGATGACGATGTGTTTCCATCTACTAGTACAATGGTTTCGGATGTTTCGAGTAGAAACACTGTGAATGCACTGCATCATCGCTTTCAAGTGTTGCAGTAGTCCAGTCTCTGAAATGGACTAGGCGGCATGACGCTGGGCGACTCGGAGTTGAGAAGTGGTGAGTCACCACACTGCTCTTCCAAAAGTAACTTCCAAGGGAAGGAACCAGGGACGGGTCCTGTCCAGACTGCATCACAGCTGTCTGTGTCCCAACGCCCAACAGCCTTCAGTATTTTCACAGCCAATGGTAAACAGCCCATTTTTACTTCGATGATGTACTAATGTACTTATCAAAAATAGCATGTTTCCATAGAAAAGCGAGGGTATCAAGACCACATTTCTGGTTCCATAGCCATATGGCAGTGTGTCAAAACCTTGTACCCCTGGTGAACATCAAAATAGCTGGTAAATGGATGTTCATCCCACTAAAAATGGTATTAATAGGTATTGATCCATACCCATATTTGAGTGTGCATCCCAGATTGATGGTGGGATTTGTAGCATTTCAGACTTTCCGACCCACAGATTGGCAGCGATTCGCATGCCGTGCAAGTAGGGATTCCAACGGGTTTCAGTTTCACCAATATCTTGTAGACTCCACAGTTATGGCCCTTTACCATCTTTACCAGTTATAAGTCAGTTATAACAGTTATAACCCCACTTAATGATATACCATCTTTACCAGCTATAAGTCAGCTATAACCCCACTTAATGATAAACCATGATAAACCCATGACAAAAACCAGTTACTTCACCATTCAGAACTGGTAGCCAGGGCCATAAAACTGATGAAATATATCGACTCTGTAGATCCCATGCAACTGATTTCCTACAAGGTGCTGCTCCTTTAGATAGCTAAGTTGCTCCGTCTCTATCTCTATAATATATATATATCTATATATCTATATCTATATATATATATACTCCATTAACTATAGATATTTAACTACCATAAATCATAAACCGTAGTTTACCTAGTTATGTTTACCAACTTGGCTAAACCCAGTATGTTTGTTGATTGCGCAACGCATCACCTGTTGTCCAGCCCAGCCGAGCGGCGCTGATGGCAGTTCGTACCTCCTTCCAAACCCGCCTCAAAATTTCGGGCGCGGCGGCCATTGAAGTCCACTGGAGCCAATCTGCGGTACAAGTTGCGATTCGCGATGATCGGTGCCTACTGAAACACTATCCCATCTGGTTGGTGGTTGAGCCACCCCTCTGAAAAATATGAGTTCATCAGTTGGAATGATGACATTCCCAATGTATGGAAAAATAAAAAATGATCCAAACCACCAACTAGCTATTTAGTCACTGATTAGAAAGTGGGGTTAGTGAGTTGCCTACTTGATCCTACTTGCATATGGGGCCCCATCCCAAGTCTTGCTCAATGGTCTATATACCTGCTCTATTAATTTGCTTGTTTTTTGTTGCTATTTTTGAGCAGGAAATAAATCCTTTCCCACAGCTGATGGATGGCAAATTTTGGTTCTTATGGTCTGGTCGTTGAAGGCTGAAAGCAGCCGAAGATCTCAAAACGAATGTCCATCACTCCTTGATGCTGAAACTTGTTGTAGTTTCTCCATATATGGCGTTTTTCCGTCCACCATTTCAAAACTTAAGACATATACAAATACCCTCTGGCTATGTAACATAACCATGGAAAATCACCATTTTTAATAGGTAAACCATCTATAAGTGGGTCATTTTCCATGGCTATGTTGGTCATAACCAGATGGCAACGCAACGACCATCTACGGAATCTACAGAATCCCGGACGCACCGTTTCATAGCAGGGATTCAAAGAGGTCGCTTGCTATGGTTTGCATAACTTTCTGAATCTTTCAAACCGTTCCAAAACCTACCTAAAATTTCAGAATTTATGGAAGTTGTGATAGTTATCCGAACCGTCGCAACAACGATAGTTATGATACATGAACTACTTATACATTGAGGATCACTTCCCTATCATTTCCCATCAGCTGGGCCCCTGGGCCGTGGGTTGTTGGGCCGTTGGGCCGGTCCATGACTCACATGACTCACAAAAAAGAAAAAACAATCATCTACGACTCTAACAAAATAGAATAATCATAACAATATCATAACAATATCACAATAGATTATACTTAATATTACTTAATATTACTTAATATTACTTAAATACACATAAACACATATACTTTCCTGGAGATATTTAGTAAATTGAATCTCCAAAGATAGATACGCTGCCTGCCTTCCCCGCAGCATGGCTGATTTTTCTCCGGTCATTGGCTGTCCCCGCTGCCAGGGCGGGCGGCGAGGGTTGACCAAGGGGCATTTTTGTGGCACCTCAGATTTCATTGGGTTTAAACGAAAATAGTAATGTCAGCAATGGGATATTAATGGTATTTAATGATATGTTAGCATTGAAATGGTGATATACCCAGATATAATCCCCTTCTCCCATATTAAACACCGGCCAGAAGCCAGGGTTTAGAAAGGAATGTCCACATTTCATTGGGACCATAGAATGGGGGTGTTTAAATGTGTTTAATATTCACTGGGGATGGGATTAGTAATGTCAGTAATGTCATATTGTGGGATATTCAAGAAAAAACACATCCCACTCATCCCAAACAGAAATCATGAACCACTATTGGAGATGGTTTATAATTGGGTGTATGGGGTTAACCCCAGCTATTCTTTGGGATACTAATATGGGCACATTAAGGGTACAACTATAGTATTACAGTATTAGTGATAATTCGTAATCTTAACAACTATTGTACTTAACTACAATCGCACAATCTGGGATCATTTGGATCAAAAGCATAACATGCTTTTGGGGAGCTGGATATACCACAAGTCAACCTCAGCTATAACCCCAAAATCCCCATCAACAGCCATGGAATTATACCATATTTCCCCACCTGCCAGTGAGGGTTGTTAGATTTTATCAGAGCTGTTCTTCTCCTCCTCGGCTAGCTCTTCTCCTCCTCCTCTTCCTCCTCCTTCTCCTCCTCCTCCTTCTCCTCCGCCTGTTTCGCCTCGACCATGTCTGCATCAACTTCCACCTCAACTTCCGCCTTGCCAACTCTTCGCCAAGCTCTTTGCCAACTTCCCAGCTCAGTGTGCACTGCTGGACCTCAACCTGGGACGTTCCCAGCTCAATGTGCACCGCTGGACCTCAACCTGGGACCTTCCCAGCTCAGTGTGCATCGCTGGACCTCAACCTGGGACCTTCCCAGCTCAGTGTGCACCGCTGGACCTGCAACGGCCAGATAGAATGCCAGAAGATATGCCAGATAGAGTGTTAGAAGATATGCCAGATAGAATGCCAGAAGATCTGCCAGATAGAGTGTTAGAAGATATGCCAGAAGATATGCCAGATAGAATGCCAGAAGATGTGCCAGATAAAATGTCAAAAGATATGCCAGATCGAATGCCAGAAGATATGCCACATAGATTGGCAGAAAGTGTGCCAGAAGATATGCCAAATAGAATGCCAGAAGATTTGCCAGTAACAAAATGTATAAATGTCATGGTGGGGATCACACGAAGTAAAGTAATTTACCTATTTGACTACTGCAAATTAGTTTCCCATAGTTTTTTGGGCTGGATATCGATAAATTCGGAGAACATGATATTATATATTAATATATCAGATATCCAGCCGCGGCCCCAAACAAACAGCCCCTGGATGTTGTTAGACTACAACAACAAAAAAGAAAGAAAAGTTGGAAACCTGGAAGTTTGAAAGGAATATATAAATATCATCTATACCATCCTGGAAACACGGTTCAATCTCTTTGGGGATTTCGATATCTTGTGGATTGCTCGATGTCTGCCCAAACAATCTGTTTATTGAAGCAGCAATGACAGAAGTCACATCCATTGCTTGGGGCTCACCCTTCTCTTTGGCCTTCATGTTCAGACAACAACAATCCTTGGCCAAGATGGACCCCCTCAGTTATATTTGTTGGTTTAAAACTTTTAACCCCCATGGATTAGTTTGTATATATATATATAATATAAACCGAAACGCCCTTGGAGTTCTGTTCGCCAACTTAGCTGTTCCAAACTGGGACACCATCTTGTAGCCAAGATGGACCCTGGCACCATTTGAAGCCCCATCTGTTAGTCATTTCGCAAAGTTATGGCCGCCGTGACGGCGTGCATTGGCGGTTTAGGGTCCCTTGGACCTGTCTATGGCAGGAAGGTCCAGAACAAAGAACAGGACACATTTGGTATGTCTGAATATCCGCTGCAGTCGGCCCCCAAGATAGGCAAGTTGGTTTATAACTCCAATAATTATATTAATATGGGTTTATGATGGTTTGTGGCAGATATATCTATATATGGGCTTTAAAAACTAACTTGTAACTGGGGCCCAACCTTGAAGACTTCGAGGAAGACCATTCCCGGATGAAGTAAAACCAAAGATGATCCAGTGAAAGCCCTAGAAACAAAAAAATAGATATAACTTGTTATTTAGATGGGATTATGCATTCCATAAATAGGGGAGACTTACCGACTTATAACTTGTATGACTCGGGCCATAACTGTAGCTAATATGGCTGATAAATGTTTGATAAATTCCATGCATTTCCACACATGTAATGCCTTAGATTGATATTGTTGTATGATATGTGGCTATCTCATCTGATTTTCGGGGTCCAGTCATCTCTTCTGAGTCCCTGAAATGTATAGACATATAGCAATTGCTGGTTGCCTCCCATGTTCCCAGAAGATTCAGGATTACATTGACTACATTAGATGGGGATACAACACATTGCATATCTTAAGATCAAATACTTAGATGGTGCAAACAAAAATTAGATGATTAATTGAAATTAGTTTGTTTATCTGAAATATTGGATAACACTTAGATGATGTGTTTCTACATTTTGATACAAACCAGATATGTCGATGTCTGTCGATGGGGATTTGTCAACCGGTGACCTGTGTTCCTGCGACAGGTTGGACCGGACTCCACTGACTGCAGCGATGGCAGAGGTCAAAGGTCGGCTTGGTTTTTGTTGGGCTTGTTCATCAACAGACTTTTATGTATTACCATGAAACTATGGATGACAGCTTCAATAACTAGGCTTTATAGGGATGTAAACAATATATATATACATATATAACTATATTATATTTATTGGGGGCTAAAAACCAGCTTATAGATAGCTAATGTAAGTAAAGCTATGTCATAAACCACCTATACGTTCAGGGGTTCAAAAAGCGTCCGTTTATGGATATGTATGGTAAATTTGGGGATGATTTCCTGCTTTAATTAACATCTACCCAACGTTGCCATATGCCATGTGTTGCGGTCAGCCCTGAACCCATTTCGACGTAATCAGCACTGCGCTCAGTTGCTGGACGCGTCTTCTCCGTCGCGATCTTCCCGAATCAAGCGCCTGATGGCTGGATCCAGGAATGGATGTGGCTGGATTTTGAGCCACAAAATATCTAGAGCTTATCAAGCATATGCAGCATATGGTGGTTTCCTAAGTCATGGGGGTACCCCCAAATCATCCATCTATAGATTTTCCCTTAAAAAACCAACCGGCTATGGGGGATCCATCAAGAAACCTCCATATGACTAGTCACAAAGTTTTCTTAGGGATAGGCTGGACCATGGATGTTTGATGATGTTTTTTTAAGGGATGATCCCAGTGACTTACGAACAAAACTCTTCAAAACTAGAATGTGGCACCTCTCAATAATAAGTAGATCTACAAACGTAGATCTAGAACCGATCTACATAATTTGTTCCAACTATGCGTATTCTAGGGATGTTACCTAATGATTAAAGGGATTAACAAACAACAAGAGAACACCAACTCAAATAAAAAAAACGAAAAAACATCGCCATGTTCATCTGAAAATCATGGGACATCCCCATAATTTCTGTGGTGATTTCTGTTTTTCCCAAGAACCGGATCTGCGGAAAACAAAAAACATAGATAATGATAGCATTGTAAATGATAGTATTATCGCCTTACTAGCATTTACTAACCATCTTACGGGATAATTCCCTGAAATTAGGTGTCTTCTTGTCGATAGTTATCCCCAAAACCTAACATTTACTAAGCATCATGTATAATTAGGGTTCGAATCCGTCTGTAGCCAAGCGTAGCCAAGCGGCCAGGTGCTGAAGTATCCTGCCAGATTGGACAAGGTATCGGTAAAGTCCTGCGCCACCGCCACTGGTTGCTACAAGGCAACGGGGCGAAGTTTGGGGTCTATAGAACTCCAATAACTAATGCTTATGGGTATTACTACTGTCTATAACTAGTGTTTATGGTAGATATAACTATAGTTTATTAGCTTTAGATATTAGGTTTAGCTATTGTTTACTATGTTTACTATAGTGGGCTTTAAAAACTAACTTATAACTGGCACACCCCACCTGGTAGCGAGCATTGCCATGACCATCCCAACAAGGAGGGCCCCCGTTTTAACGCCCCTGATGGCAATGCTTTAGATTCACCCAATGAATGCTATAGATTCATAGTAGACCCATAAATCTACAGTGAATAAAAATAGTATACCCAGTATCTGCGATGAAATATAGTAACTATCATAGTATATACATAGTTACCAACTTACAGTTGCTATTTGCAACTATGTAAATGATAGTATTATCACTGAATGAAGCCTCCACTCGCTGCACTGCTAGATCCCAATGTGTCACCGGTGTCTTTTTTATCATTGGTGGATCACACTCCCTAAAAGTATTTCTAAACTAAACGTCCAAAGTACCAAACAGCTTAATTCCATGGTAGGATGGAACATAGACAGACATCTATATTTCAATGGGTTAGTTTTGAATCCCAAACATAGGGATTTGTTACATATGTTCTATTGATCCAATTCGTGGACTAGTCTATGGCAACTCCAAAAAAAAATGATACCCTCTGGTAAACTATATAACATGGCTATTGAAAATGATGATTTATAGTGGATTTTCCCATTGAAAATTGTGATATTCCATAGTTACGTTAGTTTACCAGAGGGTAATTGGTCAAAATGATGTTGTACAATTCAACTAGACTCATGGAGAAAAATCACCAAGACTTCCCCAGATCGCTAAATCCCAGATGATTTACGGCGAATTCGCCTACAAGGTGGTGCCCCATGTCGTTAGATATAGCTAGCTGCCGCATATAACTCCAATTTCACGAGGGGTTATGATACATATACCGAACTAGTTCATCGGGGTTATATAAAACATATTCACTAACTAACAAACACCACTGGGTTATCACCAAATAAACTATCTAAATCCCATGAAACCCAATATAACATCGCAAAAAAATCCTATCAAATACAAGCAATTCTCAACAATTCGTAAAATCCCGTGCAAATCTCGTTAAACCTCAAAAACTTTGCAATTCCTAGCAATTCCATTCTGAAATTCATTGATGTTCCCCAACATTGCGGCTTGACCCGGCTGAAGCCGCGGCCACGTGGCCACGTCTCGTCCTCGGCCATCTCCCCCAAAAAGAATTTGGCATCACTGCAGGTCTGCGTCACGCTTTCACCTCGCTCAGCTCTGGCAAATCTCTGCAGATCTTTGGCCCCAAATAATACCAGTCAGTCACTGAAATAACCCCATTTATAAAATCCATAATCCCATTTATAACCATTTATAAGCAGTTATAACTCATAAATGGCCATAACTGTGATACTTTGATATTGTGGATGGAAGAAATCCTGCACCAGTTGATAGGCGGCTTCTCCACGTCTAGCCAATTTTTCCATGAGGCTTCAACCATCCAAAGTGGTGCAGGATTTCTTCCAGCCACAGCACAATAGGTAAATCATCCAGTTTATTTACCATAGTTTTTGAAAAAACACATAAAAATACAAATTCAATCCAATTCACATCAACTCCGAAATATCAATCTATTTTTTTCCGATGCCTATCCGTTTCCGAATGCGCATGACAAGTCCTGGGAAAATCACCCTAATTTTGATCGGTAAAGCATCCAACCCAAAATCTGTTCACGTTTTTTTCTTTCTAAAAACAAACAATAAACCTACGATCATAACCCCAAAGTCAATCTTAGTGTCCCCTATTATTTGACGGCCATCTGGGTAAATCCATCCCATTTTCAGGTACACCGAAGTGATATATCTGATATAACCAAACAACACAAGCGGGTATCGGCACCGATATCCCAGTCCCTTTGCGCGCACCTACGTACATTAGGGCAGCAGTACCCACTTCCAGAAACGAAGTTGTGTCCTGCAGGGTTCCAAGACTGGATTTCAGGGTTGCCAACCATTGGATGCTACTGGGCCCCTGAATGTGACATGTTTGTTCGGTATTTGTTGGTTTAGTTTCCCATGAACACTACAAGGTGGGGTCCCCTGCTTTAAGCCATAGTTATAAACCAACTTAGCTATCTTGGGGGCCCCACCTTGTATAGCTACCATATCTATAGATCAAGATTGATATTATAAACCTAATCGAATTCCCCTAAACAAAAATTTAGCAACTTAGTGTTCTCGTGCCCATAGGGCCCCACCTTCTACAGGAAATTTGGCCGGAAATTTGCCCATTTAACCTAGTAACTGACATAGATGTGGAAAGTTTCCCTCGGACAACTACAAGTGGGGGGTTTTACACATTCAGTGGAGTTTCATGGGATGTCCTCGATTTATACAATGTGGGGCCCCCCCAGTTATAAGTTGGTTTATAAGCCCCAGTAACTATAGTTATAAATGCCATAAACCATAGTTATTGGAGTTATAAACCATCTTAGCTATCTTGGGGGCCTCACATTGTAGATGATGTTTACTCAGATTCAGACTACGGGAATGGTCCCCACTGGTGTGTCTAACTTGGACCCCAAATCATGGAACCAATGAGCACGTTGAATCGGCCAATGTTGGCTGGAGGTGACAAAGCCCTATAGCTACTGGGAAGCAACATGATTTGAAATTTCATGTTGTTTAAAGGTGCTATATGGTCAAGTTAGATTGATTATAATATATATATAACTACCATATTGAAACATGGTCATCAATCCGTAGGGATTTGTATACCCAGTATTATTTTAGGAATTCTGAAGAATGCTGGGGTGACGAGAAACCATGTCATATTATATCATATTATGATATAATATAATACATACACCATGTTTTGAACATGGCACATCAAACCAACATGCTCGGCATTCTCGAAGATTTCCGTTGATCCTTGAAAAGAGTGGGGCCCAGGTCAGGATTGAAGCCTTCCATTTCGACCCCGGGGTCCCCTGACATCTCCTTGTCTCCGAGAACGGCCTAGCGCAGGGCAAACTGTAAACGTGCCAACGTCATGTCAAAGGGCCAAATATTTCAACTTTACTCTGCATTTTTTGTACCTCGCATACATCAAGCAGTTCAGTTCGCGATAAATATTGCAGGAACAATTGGTGTGACAGAATGGGATACCGTATGGATTCAAATTCTTATTGAGAAGGTCCTTAAGCCCATAAATTAGAATAACCCTTAGTACTGACTCAGAAGGTACGGCTGCATCATGGAGATGTAGAAATGTGATGAGATGTGCATTTCTGTGTATTGCTGCACTTACGCCAATCACCAACCATACTACAAGATGAACTCTGAGGTGGATCGTGAAATATCGGATGTGGTTTACATCATGACTTACCCAAAAGATCCCCATGCAGCATGAATTACCCCTGAACGAACATGCTGAATCATCACGCAAAAAAATGGGGTAAAAATGAGTCAGATTTGACGTTCAGAGATAACTTTAACTACCCTAGGGTACCCTCCGATAATCAAACATTGCACACGGAAATCCCATATCAAATGTGGTTTTAATGGCAAAACCATCTAGCTATATAATGGGTTTTCATGGATTTTCCATTGCCATGTTTATATGTTTGATTGCCGGAAGGTAAACTGACATAAAGAAAAGGCAAACCCATGGTGGCTTTTCCACTTTCGACCATCCCGTTGAGGACCCACCATGAGAGTCCGATTCTGCTTCTGAAGGGTCCCAGGACTCATGACCTGTACGTAGACACATTACAAAAAACTATGGTTTCTTGGAATCATCTGTATACAAAAGAGTAAACACTGCATGGAAATCTAGTAAGCACGCGTTGCTGAATACTGGGTACAAATAAAACCTCGGGCGTAGCGGCCTTTTCAACAGGACAATTCTCGAACTTATCATGACCACTGATTTTTTCACCATTGAAATGCTGTTGTTTTTTCAAAACCCTTTCTGGTATGAAATGTTCCCATTTAAAGGCTAAAACCAACCCACTATCAAAACCTTCAGCAATAGCAGTTCTTTTTTGAAGTTGAACATCCGGATGAAACTGCTGCCTATATCCCTATCAAACCCCGCCGTTCACAAGTCAAATCACACAGAAATCCAGTTCACAAATCCTGATGTGTGCGAATTCTGCTGGTAAATATCCCCATAGGAATGTATTATATACATTCTTGTATATTCCTTCATTTGCTCTAGTTCTAGCAAGAAAACGTTCATTGCAATGCCGCCTCCGAACGTAGCATTCTGTCCGAAACTGAGCAGTCTTCATGGTCAAATTTCTACATATATTATATTGGGAGCCATGAAGTTCCCATTATCGACTTACAATCGGAAATCCGCAGTTCTACTTCAGCATGCCTAAATGGCCATAGCTATAAGCTAAACAAATACCCTGAATACACACTCTACAGAGTTTGTGCCCATGTCCATGGTGAAACCCATATTTGATCTTAATCAATATTGTCCTAAAGAAGGAAAATAGCGGGGCCGGGTTGATATATGATGTATTATCATCTACCTATTGGTTGGTTTTCATGGGCGGAAACCCAAATGAATCAACCACCCTGCCTTTCCTAGGCTAAATGGTAACGTTAACAATTCACTTGGCATCTCCAAGTTGTGATGAACATGTGCCAAGTGGACGCTCAGGAAAAAGGGCCTAAACTCAGCGCAAAATTGATTGCGTTTCGCAGGCTGAATGGCAGGCTGAATGGTCGTGGGACGCTCCGCTGTGGAATCCTTCGCATCTCCAACCATGATGTCCACAGAAACGCCGCCATTGCGAGGCTGTTCGGCAGTGAAATCCAATAGGAAAAGGACATCTACAAGGTGGGGGTTATCCAGTTATCTGTTTTCTATATAAACATATATATATAAACATATATATTTAGATACCCATAAAAACTAGTTCGTTATATCCCCTCTACATTGTCGTTATCGGAGTTGTGTTCACCAACTTAGCTATAAAAAAAACATATCCCATACATATCCCGTATATATCCCATACATATCCAATATGTATCCCATATGTAAATAAACAATTATATATATATATATATATGTAGATGATAAATATATATATATAACTAATACATATATATATATAACAATTATTATTTTTTATATAATTATTATATATATATACAACTATTAAAAATTATATATTTTTTTTAAAAAAATATTATATTTTAAATATTAAACATTAAATATTAAATATTATATATTATATATTATAAACTATATATTACAAATATTATATTATATATATAAATCATATATTCCTATATATATATTTTTTAACTATATATATATATTATATTATAAATATATATATATATATATTAAATATTTGATATTTTACATTAAATAATATATATATAATTTATATTATAAATTATTTATTGAATTTTATACATCATACATAATACATTATATATTATATATTGTATATTATATATTAAACATTTTAAATTATATATTTATTTTAAAGTATATATTATATCATATATATAAAATATTATATATTATACACTATATATTTTATATTACATATATACAATATATTATATATATAATATTTTATATTATATATCATCTATGATATATTATATATTATATACTATATATTGTATTTTATATATTATCATATATCCCATTGATTCCTCTATAAATCCCTTAATTTCTCTCAAGGAAATCGCCATTCAATCCCACAAAACCACCACGAAATCACATGAACTTGCCTCGCGGGGGCGAGGGGGCTCGCTTTGGGCTCGGCTCAAGCTGCTCTTTAGATCCCCCTGCACAGGCGGCTACACAAAGGGCTACTTGGAGAGGTATTTGACCAGCCAAAAAATGGTGGATTTCATGCGTCAATGGGATTTCCAGGTGAATGCATGAGTCTGCCGTGGCAGGCCGTGGGTCAGCAGCCAAAATGGCGGCCTGAGTTGGCTGAAGACCGCAAGATCTGCTCAACTCGGTCCCACAGGCCTGTGGCCCCCATACTGAACTTCATGAGGAATCTGTGCATGAAAGGTGCGGCTGCACCACAGGCTGGGCGACTTCTAAGAATCTGGTTCTTCAAATCTGGAAAGTTGGCAGATCGCCCGTTCTTGAGGCACACCTGGATGGTGTTACAGATCCTTCGCATCAATTGCACTTCGTGCTCCCCCTTGGCCAGCTGACCAGTACAGTTTGATGCGGATTGAATCAAAGATGGCAAATCAGGAAACTCAGCAACAGCCACCTGGCTCATGATTCTCCATGTCAGGCCTGACTGACAAGCTTCTGCAAACTTGGGGTCGACTTAATGAAATTTCATACTTGGAGGATCATGGCCACTTTGTGGACTATAATCATGGGGGGTTACTAACCAGTTATTATCCATTTTTAGATCAAATTACATCAAGTAAGTGGTGAATGGACTGTGATCCCAGTTACTAAGTGGTTCATAACTTCATAACCACAGTGATAACCCGTTTATAGATGAGATAACCCACGGATCGGGAACTCACTACCCAAGGTTACGTAAAGCAGTTCTTAAGTGGACAGATCCTTCAAGACCCAGGAGAATCAGGAGACCCAAACATCAAAGGTGCCGGAAAGAAAACAACAATGAAAATTCAAAGATTCTGATGGTCAGTATGGCAGTATGGGTTACAATTTTGGCCCTTTACAAACTATAAATAAATATTTAGACGAGATTATACATTCTATTAATGGGTTTCAAAAAAAAAGTATTCGGCGACTTGATCATCAAATGGCATCACAGTCGGATATTGGAATAGATACGAATCATGATTTTCGCTAGCATTAAGAGCCACCAATGAACCAGTGCAAGTCGTTCTTTCAGAAGAGGCGGGTCCCAGGGTCCTCCAGATTGATCCAACGAAGGCTTTGAAATCACAAGAAACCGAGGCAACATTGGCCGTTGGGCACAGGTTATGGCCGAAAAAAATAATCAAAGGAAGTTTAGAAGTCAAACTTCCGACAATATGGACAGATTAAAAGCAGAGATAGGAAGAGTAAAAGAAGAGAAGAGAACTTGGAGAGCTCCAGGAACTTATCGACTTATAAGCTAACTTCTAACTACCTAAGTTAATTTATAATTTGAGTTATAATCTCCTAAATGGTTAACTTCGTTCATAAGTTCAACCCTGACTTAATCTCTAACTTAGTGACTTATAAGATCTTATAAGTTAGTTAGGTTTTGATGTTGGCAAGAGATGAAATGAAGTTATGTAGAACTTAGGTAAGTTATACTTTTACAAGTTTTTGAGGGTTGAGTGGAATGAGGCAGGAATTTTTAGTCAATAGCAAGAAAATAAGACCAACGATGCGCAGTGTCTGCTTGTGTGAGTTTTACCAGAGGCGAATTGGATCGAAACGGCTATATAGGAAGCATGTGCAGGCCATCGTCATAGATCTCGCGCAGCCTGTTTTGGAGGTAGACTAGGTGTCCACGAACGTTCCGCGAGTGTCCGCGAGTGTCTACGGAAAAAAAATGCTAACTGGGAAGTCCGCGGGTCTGTGTCCGCGGAATCATAGGTTAAATTCATACTTGACTGGGAGCATGATTGTAGGTTGTCCGCGTGTCCACGGGTGGTCACAGCAAATTTTCAGTGTCCGCGGCACATGATGGAAGTTCTACGAAACCAATCATCTCGTGAGTTTTGCTATCAAACTGAAAATATGGTCTTTCTTGGTTCGCAATGTTTGGCTCGGTCGCTTCATATATATATATAGGCTGGTGTCTTGACGTAGCAAACTCTGGCTCATGTCGTGGAAAAAATGCGCATAGTCGTGGCAAAGGCGTCAAACCAGGTTTTTAAAGATATTAAAAAAACTGCCAACTTAGGTTGCACTTAGATGGAACTTAGCATACCTCTAAGTTAAGTTCACCGTAAGTTAACTTATAAGTTCATAAGTTCCCGGAGCTCTCCAAGAAGAAGAAAGGAAATCAAAACAGTCAGAAGAAAGAAGATCCAGGTGCGCGAAAAGGAAGGAAAGTCGCCAAACACTGTGTTTTCCAATGATTTGTGGCGCCGGAAAGTCGAAAAGTAGGCTCGCTAAAGCGGCGGGTGCGGAGCAATCTGGCCAGATGAGAGATGAACAATTGCACGCCGTTGTGGCGCGGAGCACATTTCCAAGTCAAAATGTGCAAAACACACCATTCTCAGACCACTTTTGGAAGTTGAGATGTTGAAAAAGTGCACGCAGTTGTGGCACGAAGCACAATTCCAAGTCAAAATGTACAACGCACACCATTCTCAGACCACTTTTGGAAGTTGAGATGTTAAAGAAGTGCACGCAGTTGTGGCACGAAGCGCAATTCCAAGTCAAAATGTGCAACACACACCATTCTCAGACCACTTTTGGAAGTTGAGATGTTGGAAAAGTGCACGCAGTTGTGGCACGAAGCAGCATTCCAAGTCAAAATGTGCAAAACACACCATTCTCAGACCACTTTTGGAAGTTGAGATGTTGAAAAAGCGCACGCCGTTTGTGGCGCGAAGCACATTTCAAAGTCAAAAGTGTTTAAAACTCACGGTCTTGGAACACTTTTGGAAGTTGACATGTTGAAAAAGTGCACGCAGTTGTGGCGAGGAGCACATTTCCAAGTCAAAATGTGCAAAACACCACATATTCGGACCACTTTTGGACGTTCAGATGTCGTTTTGCGTGGCAGGCACAAGGGATTATGCACCTTGTCAAAAGTGAGCAAAATGTGAGGGTTTTGTAGCAGTTTCCAAAAACGATGGCAGGCGTGGGACATTTGAAGAAGATTTGGAAAGATGCATTTCGCGCTGCAAGCGCACTACAAGAGACACATGAGTTAGCTATGTTAGGAGATCAGGGCGGAGATTTCCTGAGAGAGGTTGCATTTTGGAGCATGAAATCTTCAGGTTTGCTAAGATGATTTTGTGTGACAGGTGCAGCACTTCGTATGACCTGGCATCACTTTTTCGTGGCAGGCGCAGTAGTTTAGACAGATGGAGTGGAAAAATTGCAAAACGCATTGGTACGAGGCCGTCAGCTCTGCACTCAACTTTCCATTTTTGAAGGACGTTTTGCAGAATTGCTTCGTTTTTGATGTTGTCAACTTTAAAACGCTACAACTACACTAATTACCTACACTACAACTACAGCTCCACTACACTACAACCCTAACTACAACTGCACTACACCACACTACATCCAGCAGTTGTAGGTGAGGTGACCACTGCAACCATTGCAACCACTCCAACAAACAACTCCAACCACCTTTCGGTCCATCAATGGATTCGCTCTGCCATCTGTGATTCACAACAATCAACCTCTCCTATAGGTCTCCTATTTTTGAAACTTCCGTTCCGCCACCGCCTTGCACGGTACTACTGGCAAATAGTTCTAAATGGGATTATACATTCTATAAATGGGGTTACAGTACAAGTGAATTATAACTGGTAAAGGGCCATAACTGTGTGGCTAGCAAAATGTGCCATTGGGCAATGTTCAAAGTCCTTTGTCATCCTTAGATGCTGATGATTTCCATAGTGGATGATGATCTAGGACAATATATAGATCGTCATGATGCAGAAAAATCAAACGGGTAGTATGAACCCCTACCATGATCTGATGATTCATCAACCGAGTTGTTTTTTTTGGCTGCTGATATTGATACTTGTCTTATGAGCCATGCAAATTCTTTGCCTTATCCCATTAAACTATCTATCTAGCTCGTAAATAGGTACCCAACCCAGAACTGGGCTTGGATGATCCATAGTAAATCGGGTAACTTTAAATAACCCCCCTACAAACTGCCCCCCCAGTTATGCTTGTTGGTTTGCAAAGCCCAAGAATACAATAGTTATATCATGCTGCATTCTTTTTTAGCCAAAATATGTTCACCAACTTAGCTATTGTTTGGGATTGGGATATATCTACCATAATCCATACTTTAAATTTGCTAACACGTGTATCACATACACTATTTGGTATTTGAACCCATTAACATCCATTACCACCGTTCTTGTTGTTAACCTCTAATGATATGTCCTTGATTTGTTTCAATGTGTTTTAATTAAAACCTGCATTTACCGGGACTTTCCATAGCTATGTTACTTTCCCAACGGCACATCCGTTGTTATTGCTGATGCGGATCTGCCGAGTCGCCATCTGGCGCTTCATGCTCTTCATCCGCATCTGACAGTGAGGGCTCTGAATGTCAGATTTTTTTTGCGATAACATGCAAAAACCTTGCTAAATTTGATGGATAATCACTAATAATCATGATGTTACCCATGTTCAATGGCCATGAGTGGTATTTTAATCCACTTTTAGACAAAGCTAATACTATGAATTCAATGCATCCCCTGCAATACACATATCCCACATCCCATAGATAGATCGATGGATGGATAGATGGAAAAAATAACAAGTAAGTAGGTAGGTAATTACATAGATAGATAAATACGCCAAATAGATACAAACATGCAGACATCACAGCACTTAACCAAGGTTTATGATACTTGTAACTATAGTTCACTGGGTTTATAAACCAACTTATAACTGGCGGGCCCCACATTGCAAGACCGAAATGCTTATGTGAGATTTATTGATATTGCTGATACAACATCAACATGGGTCTGACTGAAAATAGGCTACCCCTAAATCCACCGCTGCATGTAAGCATTTTCCCCATTAGAATGGCCATTTTAGAGTTATGAGGTTCGGCTGGAGCCATACATTGGAGAATCAGCTTTTTAATAAATTGTGTCTACAGGGTCATGTGAGCAAAGCCACCCCAAAAAATATATTGCATATAGGGTATCACCATTTCCATGTGTGGGTTGTATTTAAAATAGCTCAATTAAAGACGTTTTTTTTGAGTGCCATGTTTAAAAATGGGGCCCCAGAAAGATAGAAACATAGTTCAATTCTTGACAGGGACACCGAAAGAATAAGGCTAGTATAGCATCGGCCGTAGCAACCCAAAAAAATGAAAAAACAGCTTCCTACCCCAGGAATCTACAGTTATGGCCCCAATCACAGTTATGTTTGTCACTGAGATAACAACATTTATGGGATGTATAATCCCATCTTAACCACTTATAACTAATAGCCATGGCCAAAACTGTAGAGTAGTGGTATCATGTTCAACCTTTTTGGAGGTTACTGCAATTCCATAGTTTGGCCTGTTCATCAAACAGACATCTGGTACCCAGTACCCGCCAAACAACAGAGTTTGCTGTTCATTTGGTTTCCTATGGATAATCCGGCACATGGGATTCCGTGAAAACTAAGGATATATCGACAACAGCAAGTTGAAGAGCTTATATATATATATATATATATCAAGTTCAAGAAGATGTATATGCATGCATATGTATATATATATACAAGAGAGGTAGGTTCTGGGAAGGTGACCAATATATATATATATATCATGACATATCAAAAATTAAATGGCGAACCAATCATCAACCAACCGGAGCAGATCGCAGATTTCCTCAGAGTTTTCCGATGGGTTATCCCCGGCGGCCAAGGCACTTCCGCACATCTCTCTCTTCCCTCGTGCACATAGAATGCCTGGTTTGGTACTTGGTGGCCCATCCCACTTAGTAAGTGGGTTATAACCCCAGTTACAAATGGGATAAGTAGGGTTAATCCACTTATAACTGGGGTTATAACCCACTTACTAAGTGGGATGGGCCACCAAGTAGGGATTTTACCAATGAAGAGTGGTTCAGAAAAACGGGATATGCACCAACATAACCCACCATAAAGGTATAATAAGGTTATGGCCCTTTACATACCAGTTATAAGTACTGAACTAACCCCATAAACATGGTTTATGTATAATCCCATAGAACAAAACAGTTATGACTAATCAATGGCCATAACCGTGGTTTGGAACCAAGGGAAGCAGTCCCTCTAATGATTAATAATGGGGAAACCCACCGAAACATATTTACACAAAGTGGTCCAAAGACAAACCTACCAATCTTGGGGATGTTTTGTACAACCAATGTTTGGTCATATTGGGATTGGTTTAGCATCAGCTTTGCCGCTGTACAGGAAGCCCTTGCATTTTTGACAATACAATCATCCTGTTCCTCATGAAATATTAGTTGTTCTTCAAGGTTTCCATACTATGGGTTATCAATGGTTATCATAATTCTCAAAAACTTAGCTAATATAACTCCCATTTCATAACCCATCAAGTAGGGTATCCTTGCGTGAATCAAATGGTAATCAGCTGACTCTGTGAATGGTATGGGTCTAGAAACCTCCTGAAAAGGTTCCTGCAGTAACCCAAAAGATTCCATCGGAACTTATAATATAGTCTAAATCAAACACAATTTTGTGACCCCTTTAATATCCCATTTGCGGGTCAACAACATTTTATATATAATATACATATATCATACATACCATGATTAAATCTATGGACTCATCTCAGTAAATATGGACTCATCTCAGTAAATATGGACTCATCTCAGTAAACTGCGAATATTTTGGGATAGTCCCGCGTACTATTGCTGGGGCCCTTCCATTGAGGAGAAGCCTAAGTTCGCAAACAGAACTTCAATAACTATGGTTGACATGTTAGATTAAGTAATTATAGATACTTATTAAGTATTCATGGGATTTGCAGGCGATCTTATATGAACTAACATAATTGACTAAGATAACATAACTTCATGGGATATTCTTCTGGGGGTTATAAACTGACAGCCCTACTTTGGGGCGCCCCGCAGCGTTGACGGTGTGCCATGCTCTCAGGATGTCCTTTCATCGAAGAGTGGATCAGAAACACAGTGGATGTCAACCAACATCACCAACCATAGAGGTATAATAAGCCTATGGCCCTTTACATACCAGTTATATATATAAGTACTGAACTAACCCCCAAAAAATTGTTTATATAAAATAACCAGTTATAATTATAGGTCATAAATGGCCATACTTGTCAGAAGGAAATTATTCCGCCCAAAAAAGAAACGCAACGGGAGTTGGGAATATACCCGCAACGGTGTCATCAAACATATTGTGGCTGGGAAATCCCCGTGGCCTAGCCATGGATGTTTAGTTTGCTGGGAAAATCATCCCTAAACAATACTGTAAATATGCTTCTTTGTTTTTTCCAGTATTGTTTAGAGATTATTTTGATTTCAAAGAACAATTTACATCTTGAAAAAATGAAAGTCAATGGGAAGAATTATCCCACATATGATGGAAAATATAGACCATGATCCAAACCACCAACCAGGTGTAAATTGTTCTTTGTTTTTCTCAAATAAACCACCTTTGATTACCTGAGGAGCTAAGCAGCTAATCCATGAGTCACCGATTCTCTGTTGCATGCAATGTGGGATTCACCGCCATGCACATGTTCAAAATCTACCATTTGGGGATGATATATATATATATATATATATACATATGTAACATGTATGTATCACCTATTTACAGAAATATTGGGGGTAGCTTACTATTGGGTTTACCAATCTAAATCAAATTAATTCATTTGGGGTACAAGAAACAACATGATCAAAAGAACGCGCTTGATGTACAGTATTCAATGTGGCCAATATCCAAGCGAATCCGAAAATATTTGGTAAATATACGACAGGAAACCTTAGCGGAGCCTCCATGCAAAACCGCCATGGTTTATCCAATTTGAGCCATATCAAATTGTGTTTACTGGATTGTACTGGTCAATTTGGAGATATCTTAAAGGTCACTTTTGCACTGGTCAAGTCCTTCTTACAAACAAGTCTTCATTTTATTCTAGCCAGCCCCACTATTTTTGTTGGTTCATTCGAGCAAAAAAAACATTGATTTGTGACAGCCATCCTTCACGCGCGCCCTTTTCCCGACTCCTGCCGCTCTTCATCGGAGAGATCAAGGTTCAAACCGGTCGCTCTCAATTCGTTCATGTACTCCTGAGTTGGCCGAAATGGTACCACCCGAAACAAAGGCTAAGTTGGTAGACATAACTTGGCGAACTCTGGGGTTTATGGGGGTAGATGGGGATAGTAATGAACTAACGAACTAGTTCATGGATGTTAATGGGATTCACAAACCAGCTTCTGACTAGGGGGGCCGACTTTGTAGCTACGGATCAAAACCCTCGTTCCAGTAAACACCACAATAGCTCGGATTTATGGTTGTTCCTCCCCCCAAAAGAATGGTACGTTAATGTAGGTTAGGTTTTGACACATCCCCATATCAAGATAGTAGAGGATAATATTGTTGCAATAATCTTGATATGGGGACTAGCGATGGCATATATCGATCATATTCACTATTTGTTCTTGATATTGACTGAGTTCAGTTCTGTATATCGTAATGAACAAAATAGGCCAGGCAACGCTCGGACGAGCCGAGCCCAGCGAGAAATTCAACAAATGACGTCCATTCACCACATATCCCTTGCGAGGAAAAACAATGTCATAAACCACCTTTTTGGGAATGGTAACCGGAATGGTATTATTGTTTTGCCAACATTACATGTAATTACTGTAATTACAGATATACATACATATATATATATAAGTTGATAATGCACAATATGAAAATGAAACATGGTAACTCCCAATATGCAGGAGTAGTATAACATCAAACAATACCATTAGCCAGCCATGATGTATCACTTCTATCATCCAATATCCTGTCGTTTGCTGCGAAGAACTTTTGACGATTTGACCAAGACCAAATCATGAACCAACTTTCATACAAGTGCAAGTGCCGTCCTCAATCTCCTGGCGTTGCAACTTTTGCTCCTCGTACTCCTGTGCGGCATAAGAAATGGCCAAGGCTAAGTTGTAAAGTTTATGGTGGATCTCCCTTTACACTAGCTCACGCATATTTTCATTTAGAGTTCGTTACATATAGTCATATGTGTAGAGGTTATATCCTAAATTGTGGAGATAAGAATCCCATGGTGATAGACATTTATGTATTACCATCAATCAACAAGACAACCATGAATCCAGCACTACAAACCATTATCAATCCGTATTGCCCTCTGGTAAACTAACAGTTCGACATGGAAAATCCACCATGAATTTAGATCATTTTCCGAACCGGTTTTCCCATGGGTTTTCTACAATATGGCCCTTTACCACTTATAAGTCACTGAGTCACCACATTTATAGAATGTATATACAGTAATCCCATCTGAATAACCATTTATTAATTATGATCAGTTATGACTAATCAATGGCAATAATTGCATTGTTTTTACCCTATGGATCCAAGTACCTTCTTAGGAAGTGTTTGGGGTATAATTTACGATAATTTGGAGGTTTTTTTGTACCTTCTCAGACAGTGGCCATGGATCCATAGGGTCTACATGTTTTCTCGTACGGTGAAAACAAGGAAGACCCACGAACTGCAGCCCCGTTCGCTGGGTCGCGTTCACCTTCTCGGCTTTGCGATACTCTTCTTCGATCTCCTGCGACAGTTCACCAAATGTAGATACAATGTGGGCCGTGGCCACCCCCACCCAGGTATCAATTGGTTGATAAACCCCAGTAACTATAGTTATAAATACCATAAACCATAGTGAAATTGGACTTTTAAACCATAGTTGTAAGCCCCATTAGCAATATAGTTATTTGTTGCGTATCATAAACCATAGTGAAATTGAAGTTATTTGCACCAACTTAGCTATCGTTCGGGGGCCCCACATTGTAGAGTTTTTAACTATAACTCCAATAACTAGGGTTTATAGGGATGTATATAATACAACTATATTTATTGAAAATTACAAACCACCCACATTTTGATGCTTTATACCAACCATTTATGGTAAACTTGGGAATGGTGGATCCTATTGCTTTACTGAGATTATATCTAGATTAGATATAACCCTCCAAATACCCCACCAAGAAATAGTAAAAGTACTAAGGTTATGGCATAAAATGCAATTTTTTAATGGCTTCTTCCAAGGTCTAGGTACCTGAATATACGCATATCAAAAACTTGGAATACGAGGGTTGTAGTGGGATATATAGTATATGTAACTACTCAGAGAAGTGTTCGAACAAATATAAGAGATAGAGAAAAAGCAAGTTGATGGAGAGAAAGTCAAACCTATAGTCTGTAGTCCAACCCAATGCAAAATCAAAGATGCGATATGGATGGATGCTTCAGGAGATTGGCTGATGCCCTGACAGGGTACTGCGTATGGAACATGTGAAACCCATGTTTCACACCATGCATCATCCATGTCATCTTCCCTTTTTTGTTCTTGCCCTGTCGGCCTTTAAGATTGGTGGCTCCTGAGCGGTCCCTGATTTGTCAACTCCTTCACTGAACCTGACATGATTAAAATTGATTAAACATGTAGATTGTCATCCCACGAATCGTACATGGTAAATACATAGCTATGGTTCGTAAGTCCCCGATTCGCCAGCAATCATTGGGCTATATGATGGTCTTATGAGGATAGAAAGAAAAATATGCAATATATAAAATCATGTACAGCTATGGCTCGAAATACCAGTTGTAAGTCACTTAGAACCCCATTTATAGAATGTATAATCCCATCTAAATAACAATATATTATTGGTTTCTGGGGCCATAACTGTAACCAACATTATATAGGTTGCGTGGAGAAACCACGGCCCATGGACCACATCTAGTCTCTACAAGGCGGCCCAACCCCGTTAGGCTCCAAGAACTAGTTCGTTATATCATGTTCTATAAACCACCCTTATATCATATATCATTGTTTTACACATTTATGGCATTTGTTAATTATAACTGGTTATAAACGGGATGATACATAAACCATAAATGGGGTTATACAGTAAGTAATTATAATTGGTATGACTCGGGCCATAACTGGGGTAGTCCACAAACAACAGATCTGTTGCTGGATTAATTTGCTGGTTGGCTGGTGATTTTCCCATTGGGGATCCCCGAATCTAAACCATGGAAACCATGGAAATTGGAGTAAACATAATAATAATGTCAACGTAGGATTAATCAACCGGTTTATCAATCCAGGGGGACCACCTGTGGTGGTTGATTAATCGGGAGGATTAATCCTACCTTGACATTACACATCAAAGTGGCCCCCCGTAGTTATAACTTGATTTGCAAAGCCCATGAACATAGGTCCCCCAGAAAGCCCACTCAGCCAAGTTTGGGGCCACCACCTTTTAGGTTTTGCATCATGGATTTTTCTTGGCCCAAAAGTGTGCAAAAGAAAACGTTCCAATCCCTGAAAATGGTCTGAAAGTGAGACCACCACCAAAAAAACAGGGGATTAGAACTTCATTGCCCACAATTTCCCAATATTTTGGTCAATTTATCCGCCAAAGACGACCCTTGGTACCCTTGTATCCCCTTGCATTACCTGAAACACCAAATATAAACCAGTATAAACCATTATCTCCTACTATAGTTCCATATCTCCTATCCACTGCAACCCATATAATCTACTAGAATCACAAATTATTAACCACTATTAACCCATTATCATTCCATATCTCTCCTATCTTGCCAACCTCGACTGACTCCACAAAAAACTCCGCGATACGAGCCTCGCCTTCCGGACCCATTCGAAGAGGTGAGACTCCTCAGCGATAAAGGCGCAATGTTCAAGTCATGGGGCAAACACTTGGGATATGTTTTTTGATACCAAATATAGGGATAATTACCTGAGTAAGCTATATTAAATCTTGTTAACCACTGATTCAGGAGAAAAAAATGTAATTGATAACAATCAATTACTTTACTTCGTGTGATCCCCACCATGACATTTATACATTTTGTTATTGGCAAATCTTCTGGCATTCTATCTGACATATCTTCTGGCATTCTATCTGGCATTCTATCTGGCATATCTTGCATTCTATCTGGCATATCTTCTGGCAAATTATCTACTCAAACCTTCTGGCATTCTATCTGGCAAACATTGTGGCACTTTATCTGGCATATCTTCTGGCATTCTATCTGTAATTTTATCTGGCATATCTTATGGCATTTTATCTGGCATATCTTCTGGCATTCTATCTGACATTCTATCTGGCATATCTGCTGGCATTCTATCTGGCCGTTGAGGTCCAGCGGTGCGCACTGAGCTCGGAAGTTGGCGAAGAGCTTGGCGAAGAGTTGGCAAGGCGGAAGTGGAGGTGGAAGTTGGCCGAGGAGAAACTGGAGGAGGAGGCGGAGGAGGAGGAGGAGGAGGAGGCGGAGGACAACAGCTCTGATAAAATCTAACAACCCTCACCTGGCAGGTGGGGAAATATAGGGGTCTAAATGCATTTTAGATTGTTCAAAATAATTTATGCCATTTGAGGCAATGTAAAGCAATGTGAAGCAATGAATCCTTGATATGGGTACGTCAATGGTGAAAACACAGTGGCCATGAATTTTCCTAAAGTGATGATAATGATAATCCCCTGGTAGAGGGGGATCCCAACTTGGTGGCACTCCAGCCATCGAACGGGACATCTCCAAATTCGCTCCAATATGCGTTGATCCAATTCCGAATTCCTTCCAATTTGTGCTGGTCAATGTCCTGTACATGTCAACCCTGGATTAATAAACCCCTACTAGATTGTTTAATTGGGAGGCTACCATTTAAAAGTATCAGATGAAATGACTATTGGAGGAGTACCCCCCCTTGTTGGCAATTTCCGCTGAAGAACTCACGATCATTGCTGGGTTGAATCAGTTGGATCACAATGCTGGAATCAGCTACCCTCTGGTAATCAGCGCTGGACAATTCCCCACTTCATTGACTTGACAGTGAAATGGCCATGGCTATTAGTTATAACTGGTTATAAATGAGATTATAATAGATTAATATAGATTATACAATCTATAAATATCATTAAATATCTATAAATGGGGTCATAAGTGATTTATAACTGGTATTTTAGGCCATGACTGTAACATTTCAATAGCAAATTTCTAGGGAATTTCCCAGCCGCCTCTGGCCGTGACCCCGAAGGCTGCCGAATCTCAGGCTCTGGCACGAAAGGGCGCCTAAGACGTTTCAACTCAAAAAATGTAAAATTAAAAATGTGGTTATTTCAAGGGACAATGAAAATATATGATTCATGATGATTCTGTATTTTCCTTTATTGTAGGGAAAACACAACATAGAACTTGTGGAATAGATGACTGTTGAATGAGATGTTCTAATGGGAAAATCATCTATCAACGGGAATTGGTGGGTTCAACCCATGTCACAGTTGTAAATTGGGATCATATGGGCTCATTATCCTTAGCGACAAGAAAATGAAACTAACCACCAGTTTTGTCCATGTGGGTGTGTCTTATAATGTGGTAATGTTTGAAAAGCAATAGCATCCACCATCCCAAAGCTTACTATTGGTGGTATAAGCCATCAAACTATGGCCGGTTTATCATTGCTTTACCAAGATTACACCCATAAAATGGCGACGTAAGTATATACTCAAAATAAATGATAATTGATCAGTGGATTTACGGTTACCCTATTCTCAAACAAACCAATATGTGCCCTTCCAAATCCCCCAGTCGTTTTTTTAAAGCCCCCAAACGAAACCATGGTGGATTGCACTTGGAGGATCATCCCACCATTTAGAGGACTTACTAGCCATGATTATTAACCACTCACGATTCGTGGGATGATCCTCCAAGTGGCAGTTTCTTTGTTAATCGATATGTTCAAGCTGAGAGAAATGTTCCAAGGATCGTGAAAGAGTCTACTTCTTATGTAACATATGAGATGGTAAAGTCCATAGTCCATAGTATACGATCCCATCAAGCAATCATTCGGGTGTCAATTTGAATCATCTCAAATAGAGGTATACGCAATCATGTATACTACATCACTGCAACTTTATAGACGCAAACCGAAGAGTGGGGTCCCAAACATGATGTTTTCTGGCAATTTCTACGATGCATCGAACCCTTTTTCCAAGTCCAGGATGGCGTGCTCAATGTTAAAATAGATGTTATTGATCTTTCATACTAGTCTTGATGTCGCTACAAATATTCCAAACTAAGCGGAAAGGGTTCAACGTACTGAAGCATCCAAAACTAAAGGTTACTATAGAGATACGCATAATAAAAGCCCGTTGCTGGACCAAAGGCACAACAATTTTTGTGTCAAATCATATCTAGTTGACAGTCTCTGCTGGAAGAAAACACACTGGTCAAACTGGAATCTCCCTGTCAAGTGAATACCCTCTGGTAATGAACGATTGACCCATCGATTTATTAAATACTGATGACCATTGACCATGGCTATTAGTGAAAGAACTGGTTATGAATCACTGGGATTATACAGTCTATAAATGGGGTATAACTAATTCTTACAATTATTGTAAATGGTTATAACTGGTTATATATTTCAATGGGATTATATATTCCATAAATGGGGATGACTTAGTATTTATAACTGGTATTTTGGGCCATAACTGTATAGGTCAAAGTCACGTACCCCGATTTGTTTTTTCCGCCGAATCGACTTTAGTGCTGTGTGACAGCGGTAGAGACAACCAGCCGAAAAATGGATGGCTGGTTGGTGGTATGCCCACCCCTCTGAAAAATATGAGTTCGTCAATATATGGAAAGATAAAAAATGTTCCAAACCACCAACTACAATGTGAGGCCCCCAAGATATAAGTTGGTTTATAAGCCCTAGTAACTATATAGTTATAAGTACCATAAACCATAGTTATTGGAGTTATAAACCAACTTAGCTATCTTGGGGGCCTCACATTGTAGGGATGGTCAATGACCCATCCCCATTTCCAATTCGCGCACTCCGAGACCCAGGGTCCACCCCACCTCAGAACTACTTGGTCGAGCACATTTACTCAACAGTTCCTGCAGCGGCTACAAGAACCAATTGACATCCCTGCAGAACATATTAAAAAAAAAATAGTTACCCTCTGGTAATTTAACATAGCTGTTGAAAATGGCCAGTTATAGTGGATTTTCCAATTAAAAATGGTTATTTTTCATAGTTATGTTAGTTTACCAGAGGGTATGTGAAATTTATATCAGGCCCCATTAAACTAACATCATGTCTATAAATTTTGGAACGGGAACATCAGGGGACATCATATGAGCGATTGTGAAAACCCTAGGTTCACGGAAAGGACATCCACAAATTTGGGAAGGTCCCATCGCTTACCACACGTTTGTACAATAATGATATATGGTAAATTTGGGGGGTATCGCTTGCAGGAAACTGCTGCATTTATATATATATATATGTGATGAACTATGAATAACATGTGATATTTGGGTATCGCTAATGTGGATATTAGAGAAATATGATGACATAACCTTGAAAAGGGGTATCGCTAATTTGGGAAGGTCCCATCGCTTACCTCGTGTTTTTAACAATTTCCATCAATTTCCATAAGCCAATGTCCGTCGAATACATATTTAGTATTGCCGGGGTTTTTACGGTTGCTCATATATGGGGATTGAAATAATGGGTCTTTAAACCCCTTTGAACATGGATGTTTTCCATTCCTAAGGGTGTAGTTCTGGAATCCAACTTTTGACCATGGCACCTAGGATATATGAGCTCCAAATATCTCTAAACGGCATCAGAACGCTGAAATCCCTTCTAAATTGCCTGGAAAAACGAACCCGTCCATGGTCAATGCGTTCCGCAGAGTCGTCAGTTGTGAGAATGCCAACAGAAGGGCGACGCCAGATAGAAAGAACTTCATCGAAGGTGAATGCTTCCAGCATTGCGACAAGCGCTGCTGCATCGGCCGCCGGAACCATGTAATTCTTCCCGCTTGTCCAGAAACGCAGCATGATGACCCAGCGCCTAACGCGCAGCATTGCACAGGAGTGCTGCTCTTGCGCCTTGATAATATTCTCAGCTGAAGGCCACCAAACGGACTTGTTCATGCTTTTCCATGCGCGGCCAGGGCCTCATCCGAGCATGGGTTTAGAGGACAAAGCAAATTCGTGCTGCCATGTGTGGCCTGTGAAACCCGTCAAGAACAAGTGTGCAAATATTCCAAGTTTTCAGATGCTTGGCATAATTGATATTCCAAGTTTCCAGGATTTAAGAAAAAGTTTCTGGGATTTAAGAAATAGTTTCCTTCTATATTTACATCTTAGGAGGGTTAAGCTGGTACGCTCCCGAAGAAGCCGGACTCCCCAGGCTTCCCCGACAGACCTGGACAAATCCAGTCCGGACTTTTGGGGGGGGTCCCCGACTTGAATATCCTCTGAGGTGTCTAAAATGTCATGCGGCAAAGGCTTGCTAACAACATCCCGCAACTCACCCCCAAAGACTATCAGCCACATGGTTTTGTTTGGGAAACATATTTTTTGGATCCCACAACTTGTGGGTATCGCGTGTGGAAGTATTTGCAGCGTTGTATGGTGCATTTGACAAAAACTGCATTGGGACAGGGTATGTGTTTATGTTGCTGTCGGATGCACCCTTTCCTGGATTGAAACAGCATTACAACTGGTATGGCGCCGTAGTGCTCACAATTGGATTCTAGATGGTTTCGGTTTCAAGTTTCAAGCGTCAACAGTTTCAGTGTGGTGAACCATGGGTGAAGGAGGTTCTAGTACTATAAAATTGGCATGTGGGGTAAAGACATTAGTTCTTTCTCACCACAAACTACCATTGGCAAATGCGTGCTCCAAGATTGACCAGGTTTGCCCTGACAACATGGCCAATAACACCTTTTGCTTGCAAATATTACACCTTTGATTCAATATGAAAACATCTTCACAGATTGCCCGAGATTGTGTCCGAAACACGGCCAATCTGATTTCCAAAATTTCTACCATCATATTGGTGGCGATATTGCGTCAGAAATCTCCAGGTCTTTCTTAATATCTCCAAGCCAATATAGTTGGTACCACTACAAGGTGGTGCCTCAGTTCGTGAACGCTGGTGAACATCACTCCAAGTTCATGTTTGGCTTTCTGATACCTTTGACTATAGTTATATAAGGGTTAGTCAAAAATCAGAACTGGAGAGCCTCACCTTCTATGTTTCCCTAACATGACCATCCACAGAAACTTCACGCTCCTGATATGCTGCATGGATCAAGATGAAACGCTCTCGTGCCTGTCGTGCCATCGTCTGGAAAGCTCAGGACCGGTTGGAGGATATTCATGGGCCATGCATTGGTTCAAGAACAAATCTGAACCGGAAATCATGTTTTTGTTGAGCATCGAAACCATCGGGGTTTGCTCTAGTTGTTCTTCCCTCAAAGCAAGGATATCAACTCATTGGATACCTGCAACGCAAATATTTCAACAATGGCTCATGGTATGTACCTGCATTAAAGCTATGTAAACCGGGGGCATATCCACTTTCTAAGCCCTTACGTAGGCCTTATATCTGGATATATCTGGCAAGTATGTTTAATATTTCGGTACGTGAAATGGCCATTGACATGTTCTTTGTTTCCATCATTCATAGGCTAAATCCGTTTGATTCATTATTAAGTCACAAATAAATCCCGTCTAAGTATAAATTTGGATTTGCTTAAGGAACCTCCCCAAAAGTAAACAGAATCGCTATAGATTCACCAAATATCACCAAATAACTGTCTCATTGGGGAAACACAATCATCGACTCAGCTAATCCAAGTTTATGCCTACGGCAGGAAAACCGTACGTGCGTTTTGCTTCTTTTTGAGTATTGCTCTTTGTCTTGGGGTTGGGGTGGGGTGGGGGGGCATGTTAACGTTCCTCGTACTTCGTACAGGATATATTGCCATGTTAGTGTGGGTTGGGGTTGGGGTGGGGCGGGGTGGGGGGGCATGTTAACGTTCCTTGTACTTCGTACAGGATATATTGCGATGTTTTAGCTTTTTTTAAAGTCTCGTAAAAATATTTTTGTTATCTAGCGTACGTGTAGTGACGAGTGACATGAACGGGGGTATGAACGTGTGTGTGAACGACATGCGTGCGAGTGAACGTACGTGCGAACGTATGCATATACGAGTGAGCGTGCGTGCGAGCGAACGTGTGAGCGTACGTCCGTGCGTTTGCACGGTCACTCGCCACGCGCGCGCCCACGTACGAAAATAAGGTCGACTTGAGTCGACCTTATTTTTGCACGACCCTGCCTCTTTAGTATTGATTTAGTATTGTAGCGCTTTGCACGTGCAGAAATAAGGTCGACTCCAGTCGACCTTATTTTCGTACGTGCGCGCGCACGCGGCCAGTGAACGTGCAAACGCACGCACGTACGCACACACGTCCGTCCACTTGTACGCACACGTCCGTTCACTCGTTCGCTCACACGTGCACTCGTCCCTTCACTCGTTCGCCTTACGTTCGTCACCACGTCCGTTAGCCACTCGTACCCCCTACGTTCACCGCGTCTCTTGGAGCTTTAAAAGCATTGTTTACGAGGCTTTAAAAAAAGCTAAGCGATGTTGCTAAGATCTCTGGGATCTTTTACTACGTTACATGTTGCTACGCTGCTGGTATCTCTGAGATAGTTTCATACGTTACATGTTGCTACTCTGCTGAGATCCTTGGGTCTTTCTTACTACGTTACAGGTTGCTACGCTGCTGAGATCTCTGAGATAGTTTCCTACGTTACATGTTGCTACTCTGCTGAGATCCTTGGGTCTTTCTTACTACGTTACAGGTTGCTACGCTGCTGAGATCTCTGAGATAGTTTCCTACGTTACATGTTGCTACGCTGCTGAGGTCCTTGGGATCGTTTACTACGTGACATGTTGCTACGCTGCTGAGATCCTTGGGATCGTTTACTACGTGACATGTTGCTACTCTGCTGAGATCTCTGGGATCGTTTACTGCGTTACATGTTGCTACGCTGCTGAGATCCTTGGGATCGTTTACTACGTTACATGTTGCTACGCTGCTGAGATCTCTGAGATAGTTTCCTACGTTACATGTTGCTACGCTGCTGAGATCCTTGGGATCGTTTCCTACGTGACATGTTGCTACGCTGCTGAGATCCTTGGGATCGTTTACTACGTGACATGTTGCTACTCTGCTGAGATCTCTGGGATCGTTTACTGCGTTACATGTTGCTACGCTGCTGAGATCCTTGGGATCGTTTACTACGTTACATGTTGCTACGCTGCTGAGATCTCTGTGATCGTTTACTACGTTACAGGTTGCTACGCGTTATGAGTGCCATAATGGCAACTTGCTGTCGAAGACAGCTTCCACACTGATGGATCGCTGAGCCGACGAAGAGTGTGAAAAAAAATCTGCGCATCCACGTCTGATGCACATGATGTTTACCTGGATTTGTTAAAAATCAATAGATTTTGCATCCACTTGTTTTAACCCAAATTCAGTTATCCAAACTGATCGGAAGAGCATTTTATATTGTAAATTACAGGTGATTGTGACTCTCCTGGAAACAACCAATCAAAACGCTCGCGCGGTTTCCCTTCCGCCGGGAAGTTTATGGCTTTAGTGCATTGTTTTCTACTTGGACAATTCAGTATAAATAATGGTTTATAGTTAGGAAGTTAGGACAATCCTCGAACTAAATGGGTGATTTTCCAGCATGCCATGTTGACACCGCTGGGTAAATCCTAGCACCGTTTCTTAATATGGTATGTGCATCAACCTAGCTGGAAAATCACCACATTAGCAAGTCAAGGCCCTATGGATCCAAACACTGTCTGAGAAGGTACTTAAGCCTCCAAATTATAGTAAATTATACCCCAAACACTTCCTAAGAAGGTACTTGGATCCATAGGGAGGGTAAATCGCCACACGTTGCTGACACTTCACACATTGCACCGGGGCCCGCGACTTGAGCGAGTTCCTGCGAGGCCCAAGAAGCCCCTTTTCGGCACCATAGAAGTTACGTTGATCAATGGTGGTTTAATGGTGGTTTAATGGCATTGTTAATACAAATTAATGGAATTTAGATAACTAAGTTGGTGAAAACAATTTGTTTAACTAGGGTTTATGGAGTAGATAGAATATGGAAATTGAGTTAACTATATAACTATAGGCTGTAGCTAGATGGTTATACATGATGGAATCATATGGAATCCTCACTTTTGTTTGGGAAAGCCCTTGTTTTCATGGGAAAATCGTCTACAAACGGATACATCAAGGTTTTTAGGATGGGATTTTCTGCAGAAATCATGCTCTCAGGGGGCAAAGGTGGTTGAGCATCACCCAGCGACAAGCCACGTGCGTCCCTAAACTGTTTACCCGAGGCCCCAGTTTGATCCAGTTTGCTCCCTTTGGGGCTGCTCCAGAGAGGAGCGCATGAACTAAGCGGTTTTCAAAAAAAAATACTTTACTTCGTGTGATCCCCACCGTGACATTTTTACATTTTCTTACTGGCAAATCTTCTGGCATTCTATCTGACATATCTTCTGGCATTCTATCTGGCAAATCTTCTGGCATTCTATCTGGCATATCTTCTGGCATATTATCTGGCAAATCTTCTGGGATTCTATCTGGCATATCTTGTGTCATTCTATCTGACATTTTATCTGGCATACCTTCTGGCATTCTATCTGGCATATCTCATAGTATTTTATCTGGCATATCTTCTGGCATTCTATCTAACATTCCATCTGGCATATCTTCTGGCTTTCTATCTGGCATATTATCTGGCAAATCTTCTGGCATTCTATCTGACATATCTTCTGGCATTCTATCTGGCAAATCTTCTGGCATTCTATCTGGCATATCTTCTGGCATATTATCTGGCAAATCTTCTGGGATTCTATCTGGCATATCTTGTGTCATTCTATCTGACATTTTATCTGGCATACCTTCTGGCATTCTATCTGGCATATCTCATAGTATTTTATCTGGCATATCTTCTGGCATTCTATCTAACATTCCATCTGGCATATCTTCTGGCTTTCTATCTGGCATATCTCATGAGGTCCGGCAGGGAACACTTGGCGTGGATACTCGCGGTTGAGGTCCGGCAGGGAACACTGGGCGTGAATGGTCGTGGTTGAGGTCCGGCAGGGAACACTGGGCGGGGATGGTCGTGGTTGAGGTCCGGCAGGGAACACTGGGCGTGGATGGTCGTGGTTGAGGTCCGGCAGGGCACACTGACGTGGATGGTCGTGGTTGAGGTCCGGCAGCGAACACTGAGCATGGATGGTCGTGGTTGAGGTCCGGCAGAGAACACTGTGGATCGCGGGTCGCAGTTGGACGAGGAGGACGAGGAGGACGACGAGGAGGAGGACGACGAGGAGGAGGAGGAGGAGAGGAGGAGGAGATGAGGAGGAGAGGAGGAGGAGGAGGACGAGGCAGGAGGAGGCAACTGACATAAAATCTAACAACCCTCACCTGGCAGGTGGGGAACATGGCTGACAATTCGTTCAGTTTTTCTCTGCAGTATGTTGGTGATGAGCACACTCCATCATATAAAATCCATGGACATCCCACGATTTCACGATTGTTATTAGCAAAAACAACTATTTAGAGGACAAGATAGATTTCTATCAACTATGATGTACTATTTTGACGTTAGCTCATGTCCTGCTAATTATATTACCCATCATGGCGCTGGGATCCAGCTATTGACCTATCCGCAGGCAGCTGGTGGTTGAGCCACCCCGCGGAAGAATGATGGAGTTCGTCAGCTGGGATTATGACATTCCCAATCTATGGAATAATAAAAATGTTCCAAACCACCAACCAGTTAGACTCTGTTTTTTTTGCGTCGGACATGGTTAGATGCAGCTAAATGATCTTAAAGATTCTTAAAGTATGTCAATTCTTGAAGCATATCTCTACATTTCTGCTACATCTCAAATCATCTCAATGTACATACAAACTGCTGCCTCCCTAGGGGCCCTCTAGCTAAGCTGGTGAACATAACTCTAATAACTATAAGGTTTATAGAAAACATTAGAACATATTATATATAACTATAGCTGGTTGGTGGTTTCAACCCCTCTAAAAAATATGAGTTCGTCAGTTGGGATGATTATTCCCAATATTCGGAACAATAAAACATGTTCCCACCAACCGGTACAGTACTATAACTATAGTCAATGGGATTTTATTTTTTCAGTCGACTTCGATACATCACTTTTCGGATGATGCCGAGTCACATCTTCTGGGCCAACTTGGTGAATCCGCGGCGCTATGTTATGGCCATCCCAAACTTCATCCAGCTACATGGCCATGGCTATTAGTTACGACTGGTTATTTCAATGGGGCTATGCATTCCAACCATTTTTATGGGCTTAGTTCAGTACAAACATAACTGGGATGACTCGGGCAAAAACTTACATTCAAATGCTCTTTTTAAACTTCCAAATATCGTAAATATCGTGGGAGGATCATCCAAATACCCTCTGGTAAACTAACATAACTGTGGAAAATCACCATTTTTCATGGGTAAATCAACTATAAATGGCCATTTTCAAAAGCTATGTTAAATTACCAGAGGGTAACTTTATGACAGAACGTGGGGGCTTGAGTCTTCACCACTCTCCCGACATCCTCGGGAGTGGCTCCCTGGCGCTTATCTGGATGCCACTTCCTGACGTCAAAAATCGGCAACGCTTTTTAGGGCCCATGGAACCCATGGTTTTCCGATCAGAGACATGTCACGTTGGAAATCTGCAAAAGATGTTCCCTAATGATGTCTCGTCACATCTATATAACTCTTGGAGTTTGATGTATGTAAATATATATATATGTATATGTATATATATATATATATATATCCGCCGACCCCTGCCTAGCCTTGGCCCAGGCCGGGCGGCGCCCGGGATCACCGCAGGTGTGCGGCTTTGGCCTGCTAGGACCTCGGCCTGCACGGTCCACCAGACACCAAACCCTTTGCCACTGCCTTCCCAAGTCACCGCGAACACGTTGCCCTGCAGCGGCAGCCCTTTGCCAGCGCTTGGCCATGTCGCCATATCGCCATACTCCACTCCATCCATGTAGAGGGTTTCACAACCTGCGCGAAGCACGGGCCATCAGGACACAAAACCCCCGTGTGGGCCTTTACCACTTTGCCACTGCCTTCCCAGGTCACCGCGAATACGTTGCCCTGCAGGAGCAGTCCTTTGCCAGCGCCTGGCCAGTCGCCATACTCCATTTAGAGGGTTTCAAAACGTGCGCGAAGCACGGCCCATCACGACACAAAACCCGTCTGTGGGCCTTTACCGCTTTGCTGCTGCCTTCCCAAGTCACCGCGAACACGTTGCCCTGCAGCAGCAGTCCTTTGCCAGCGCCTGGCCATGTCGCCATACTCCATTTAGAGGGTTTCAAAACGTGCGCGAAGCACGGCCCATCACGACACAAAACCCGTCTGTGGGCCTTTACCGCTTTGCCACTGCTTTCCCAAGTCACCGCGAACACGTTGCCCTGCCTTTGCCAGCGCCTGGCCAGTCGCCATACTCAATTCAGAGGGTTTCAACGGTTTCAAAACGTGCGCGAAGCACAGCCCATCACGACACAAAACCCGTCTGTGGGCCATTACCACTTTGCCGCTGCCTTCCCAAGTCACCGCGAACACATTGCCCTGCAGCGGCAGCCCTTTGCCAGCGCCTAGCTAGTCGCCATACTCCATGCATGTAGAGGGATTCAAAACGTGCGCGAAGCACGGGCCATCAGGACACAAAACCCGTCTGTCGGCCTTTACCGCTTTGCCGCTGCCTTCCCAGGTCACCGCACACACGTTGACCTGCAGCGGCAGCCCTGTGCCAGTGCCTGGCCATGTCGCCATAATCCATGTACCGCCTTGCCACTGCTTCCCCCGGTCACCGCGAACACGTTGCCCTGCAGCGGCAGCCCTTTGCCAGCGCTTGGCCACGTTGCCATATCGCCATACTCCACTCCATCCATTTAGAGGGTTTCACAACCTGCGCCAAGCACGGGCCATCAGGACACAAAACCCCCCGTGTGGGCCTTTACCGCTTGGCCACTGCCTTCCCAGGTCACCGCGAACACGTTGCCCTGCAGCGGCAACCCTTTGCCAGCGCCTGGCCATGTCGCCATATACTCTATTTAGAGGGTTTCAAAACGTGCGCGAAGCACGGCCCATCACGACACAAAATCCGTCTGTGGGCCTTTACCGCTCTGCCACTGCCTTCCCAGGTCACCGCACACTCGTTGCCCTGCAGCGGCAGCCCTTTGCCAGCGCCTGGCCATGTCGCCATACTCCCTGTAGAGGGTTTCAAAACGTGCGCGAAGCACCGCACATCACGACACAAAACCCGTCTGTCGGCCTTTACCGCTTTGCCGCTGCCTTCCCAGGTCACCGCACACACGTTGACCTGCAGCGGCAGCCCTGTGCCAGTGCCTGGCCATGTCGCCATAATCCATGTACCGCCTTGCCACTGCTTCCCCCGGTCACCGCGAACACGTTGCCCTGCAGCGGCAGCCCTTTGCCATATCGCCATACTCCACTCCATCCATTTAGAGGGTTTCACAACCTGCACGAAGCACGGGCCATCAGTGGGCCTTTACCGCTTTGCCACTGCCTTCCCAGGTCACCGCACACACGGTGCCCTGCAGCGGCAGCCCTTTGCCAGCGCCTGGCCATGTCGCCATACTCCATTTAGAGGGTTTCAAAACGCGCGCGAAGCACGGCCCATCACGACACAAAACCCGTCTGTGGGCCTTTACCGCTTTGCCACTGCCTTCCCAGGTCACCGCACACACGTTGCCCTGCAGCGGCAGCCCTTTGCCAGCGCCCGGCCATGTCGCCATACTCCATTTAGAGGGTTTCAAAACGTGCGCGAAGCACGGCCCATCACGACACAAAACCCGTCTGTGGGCCTTTACCGCGTTGCCACTGCTTTCCCAAGTCACCGCGAACACGTTGCCCTGCAGCGGCAGCCCTTTGCCAGCGCCTGGCCATGTCGCCATACTCCATTTAGAGGGTTTCAAAACGTGCGCGAAGCACGGCCCATCACGACACAAAACCCGTCTGTGGGCCTTTACCGCTTTGCCACTGCCTTCCCAGGTCACCGCACACACGTTGCCCTGCAGCGGCAGCCCTGCCAGTGCCTGACCATGTCGCCATAATCCATTTACCGCCTTGCCACTGCTTCCCCCGGTCACCGCGAACACGTTGCCCTGCAGCGGCAGCCCTTTGCCAGCGCCTGGCCATGTCGCCATACTCCATTTTAGAGGGTGTCAAAACCTGTGTGAAGCACGGTCCATCAGGACACAAAACCCCGCTGTGAGCCTTTACCGCTTTGCCACTGCTTTCCCAGGTCACCGCGAACACGTTGCCCTGCAGCGCCAGCCCTGTGCCAGCACCTGGCCATGTCGCCATACTCCATTTAGAGGGTTTCAAAACGTGCACGAAGCACGGCCCATCACGACACAAAACCCGTCTGTGGGCCTTTACCGCTTTGCCACTGCTTTCCCAAGTCACCGCGAACACGTTGCCCTGCAGCGGCAGCCCTTTGCCAGCGCCTGGCCATGTCGCCATACTCCATTTAGAGGGTTTCAAAACGTGCGCGAAGCACGGCCCATCACGACACAAAACCCGTCTGTGGGCCTTTACCGCTTTGCCACTGCCTTCCCAGGTCACCGCACACACGTTGCCCTGCAGCGGCAGCCCTGTGCCACTGCCTGGCCATGTCGCCATAATCCATTTACCGCCTTGCCACTGCTTCCCCCGGTCACCGCGAACACGTTGCCCTCCAGCGGCAGCCCTTTGCCAGCACCTGGCCATGTCGCCATACTCCATTTTAGAGGGTGTCAAAACCTGTGTGAAGCACGGTCCATCAGGACACAAAACCCCGCTGTGAGCCTTTACCGCTTTGCCACTGCTTTCCCAAGTCACCCCGAACACGTTGCCCTGCAGCGCCAGCCGTTTGGCAGCGCCACGTGCTCCATTGCCAGCGCCTTGCCAAGTCACAGACCTGTCTCTATTGGGTTTGGTCTTGCCATGCGTGTCAGAAGCTCCGTTGGGTTCCTTACCTTGCTACCCACCTCTCTCGTTCACAGGGCCGTCCAGATGGTGCGCTATGCTTGACGTGGATTCGTCCGGTAGCACGTGCTGACCACACAACCGTCCCACACAGTGGGCACTTGTGTGCATGCTGCTGCGTTCGGTTGCTAACCACACCGTTCTGTACGTAAAACGTGTTTCCGCACGCACCGCGATGGTCAAGTTGCCCAACCTTCACGTTGCTGGCCACGGTGCCTGCGCAGAAAGGGCAAGTATAAACAAAGGCTTTCGCCACGACGTGCCCATCTTTCACTTGAAATGCTTTTCCGCAAGCTTGCCGGTGATTTACTCGGCCCGAGCACACAGTGCTGTTGACAGCAACATTACAAAAAGGACATATGTAATGAAATTGTGTTGTTGCAGCCTGCCCCTGCGTTGGCTGCGGTGGCTGTGGCAACGTTTGAGGCTGGTCAGCTGCGCGCGGAGCCTTGCATGTCTGTTCTTGCGTAGCATTTCCTTCGCGTTTACGCTTTCGCGCGGCATCGCTCGTTCCGGTTGCCTGCCCTGCCCCTATCGAGGTCGGCTCCAACTGTTTTTGGGGCTCTTCTTCGGCGCGTGCAGCTTTGCATGTCTTGTCTTGGCTTCCGTGTCCTCCCCCTTTCCGCTTTCGAGCGATTTCCGCCACTACTTCGGCTATGACTCTTTCCTGCTTCTCGCGTGCAACTTTCTGTTCGGTGGCAGCCACACGTGCTACTGCTTTTCTGATAATGCTTCGCGCTAGTTCTGGCGCTTGGCAGCTGTCGCATATCTGTTCGCCGTTCTGGTGGCTATGCCGGGACATCCATTTTTGAAAGGACGCTGTTCCTTTCTTTGCTCTGCATTTGCTGCATGTCCACAAACCCAGCGCCTTGTGGGCGCAAAGCAAACAAAACCTTCGTGCCCTCCTCTGCTTCCATGCCCCCGGGGAAAAATCAGCCTCGGCTTTGCGGTTTCCACAACCAGAACACAGTTTCGTGCTCTCACACGTCGTGCAAATGCGATACAACGTGCACGGTGGATGCGCATAGTTTGCAGGGAAACTTTGCTTGTCTTTCCATGCGCAGCATGCCACGCATTGCCACGGCTGCCCCACCTCAGCGTGCCGCCTAATGCATTCCTTGCAGACCCGTGCTGTGTCATTCCGCTTCCATTGCCCTGCGGTGTACCCTGCAGCCGGCTTTTGTTCCTTGCACTCATTGCATGGCCTTTCTTCCCGGTATCTTGCGCGCAAGGCTGTCCAATCGATGGTTTCTCCCCGCCACTGTCGCAACAACAGTTCGCGTCCTAGTTTCGCACCCTTTTGAAATGGCGCTGCCTCGAATGGGCGGTAGATAAACAAGCCGCTGCGGTCCTTGACCCGTGTTGCCGCAATATATACTGTCAAAGGGTCTCCGGCATCCCCTATTTGCATGTCCATGACCGCACCCTCCTTATATGTTTGGCCTTGCGCTGCGTGCGCAGTTGTGGCAAACCCTGGAGCCAATGGCAGCTGGCGTCGCGTCACGCGCAGCACCGGTCTTCCGCGGCCTTTGTCCAAATGCCATGGCTTTCTTTGCGGTACCACAGGAAACACATTGTCTTCCGACAGACCATCCACGCGCCACGATGTTTTCGTTTGGAACCGAACGAAAATGCACACGGGCAACTTGTTCCAGATACACGTATTGTCCCCTGCCTCTCCATCGTCCTTTGCGGCCAGTTTCCACCCGACAACGTCTCCTGGGCAGCCTCTCAAGATTCCACGGTCGCGGTCCAGATGGTCTGTGGCCATGACAGGCATACCAATGCATAAAGGTAAAACCCCGTACAGGGCTCCGCAGTCTTGATCGTGCCGTTGCAGCCACGCCAATTTGTCCTTGCCGAGGTCTGGCTTTTCTCGCAGCGCTCGACTGGAAATCCGATCTTTTGCGATCGCATAATACACCTGCTGGCCATGGCTTGCAGCCCACTCTTTTGCACGCAATTTGTTCACATGGTACTTGACGGCGTTGGTCGCGAAAATTGCTTTCGCCTTCGCAAATCCCTCTGGCTTTGCTGTGGCTTCCCCTACAACCCTTTCTTTGGAGCGGCGCTCCTTTTGACAGGTTTTGCATTCCCAGCGACGCGTTTTCTCTTTGCTGGCCTTGGCGTCCAGCAACGCTTGGCACGTGCCGTTGCCGCATTCAAGCCGCTCGCCATTCCAACTTCCTGGGACGCACGTGTCCCGTCCATGCAAAAAAGCATGGTTTTCCTCTGACAGCTTGCCGCTGCGGAGTTCACCTTGCAATTTTTGCAACCACACGTCCTGCGTGCGCTCGCATTGCACCAGTTCCGTGATGCCATGCACCCCGTCCGGCGGCGAACCCCAGACTAGCTGCTGCCCGCGCGCGGCATGGGCTACCTTCTTACTTTTCCCGTGCGTCAACATCTCCCATGGGACGTCACCCAAAAATGTGCCTCGCGGCGGCGGCAACTGCCACAGATCCCCCGCCAAGATCACATTGAGCCCGCCAAATGGGCGAACCACTGCACTGTCTTTGGCATACTTGCTGTCCGATAAGTCACGGACAAGTTCACGGCAGCGCAACTCTAACCTGGCCAGCAGTTCCGCACTGACCATGCTGATTTCATCTAGGATGAGCCAGCGCCATGCGATGGCTTTCGCACTCAGCTCAAGAAGTTTATGTCCGCTGATTCTTTCATCTCCGCCTCCTTGCCAGTTCAATCCAAAAGCATGGTGAATCGTGTCGCCATCCAAATCATTGGCCATGACAGCTTGGAGGGTCACGATCTGAAACTCTGATCCTTGCTTCCAACACAAGACGCCTTCAAATAATTCTTTCCTGATTAGATTCAAAGTATAAGATTTCCCTGTGCCAGGGCCTCCATGCAAAGCCCAACGCAAGGGCTCATTGGTTGCGGCATCCTCTCCACTGAGTTGCGCTAGCATTTGGTGCGCCACAGTCTTGCAAAACGAAGCTTGCTCTGCATTGCACCTCTCTTTTACATCTTCTACCCACCCTGCGACGCGGTCTCTTATTTTGGCTAGATCAATTAACTCACTAGTCACCTCAGGCGTTGCCGGAGCCTCGTTCTCCACTGGCTGTAAACCTTTCTTTTGGCGTCGCAAACTTTTTAAAATCTTCCCATCATCTGCCTCTGCGTATGGGTTTGGCACATCCCTGAAGTGCCGTGCCGATGCCTTCCAATACAGTTCTGCACGTTGAATGGCTTCGACCACCAAGGTTCGGTGGCAAGTCCATTTTCCTTTCCCAGTTTGTTCCGCTGCTTTCGCAACGTAGGTGTTACATGCTTCTGGCAGCTCTGCGGCCGAAACAACCAATTCATCAGTATCATCCTCGTCGTCGCTGTTCTCAGCCTCCGTCTCTGGGCGCACACGATAGACAGCCAAGAAATTACCTACATATCGTTTCGTTTCTTGACACGGTAGCTCGAGCAGCCATTTCCGGAGGCTTTCCTCCCACGAAACCTCGGCACTTCGAAGTTGCCGTATGTGCGGCACGACCTCAGTCCCACGCTTTTTGTCCAAGGTCCACGCTCTGAAATAAGCCATTGTCAGCTTGGCATTGTGCTCCGTATCGTCCCCCCATTTGCTGGGCGCAGGCGACGTTGCCAGATGCGGACATAACGGCCGAAGCCGGCGCTGCAAAAACCATCCGTGCCGCAACGCCTGCCCGCCGTTGCCCCCAAAGAAAACTTTGTTCGGGGTCTCTTGCTTCTCTTTCCTTTTGAAATCCACGCCCGGCAAAAGACGGACGTTCGCAGTGTCCGACTTGGCCGCAGCTAACTTTGCAGTGCCTTTAGCTGTCACTTCGACATCCCAGTGCGTGGAAAGCTGACTTGTCCAATCCGATCGCGTCTGCGGTGTCTTCATAGGCACGACATCCCAATACATCGTGAACTCATACGGTGACAGACACCATATATCGGCACGCTGCGGTCTGTGCCCGTAGACTTGCGCCGGGTCCAGCTCCCGCATCTGCCGTTGTCCTGCGGTGTTCTTCTTTGTCCATACATATCTTGGTCCTGCGCTGTCTTCTGCCTCATCAAATGCCACATTCACTGCCTGCAAGTAACATCGGCCTGGGAAACTGACGAAAGCAGCCGTGCTGATCCGCTCTGCCGCCACAATCGACGACGGCTTGTTGTAGGCTCGCAGATTGCAGCATTCAACTTGGCCTCGAACAATGCCTTTGCAATAGGCGTCGCTCAAGAAACGCGTGACATGCCTCTTGCCTAACTTTTCAATTGACCCTTTTTCGCATTGCTTCTGCAGATTCTGATGCCCTTTCTGAAACTCCTTTATTTCATGATAAGCCATGGGCTGATTCTTAGCACAGTAGTCAGCGCAATACCCAGTCTGCGCATCCTGCGCTCGCTGCACCGCATGGACTATCTCCCGCCGTTGTCGTCGAGACAAGGCCCGGCCACACTGCTCGCAGTCAAACGGTAATCGGTATGGAAGTTGAACATCCACATTGGCACCACGCAAACTTGCCAATAGGGCAGGATGACAGCAATTCAGCCACTCATTGCGGTACGGACCATGCAGCGACCCTAAGCGATTCTTTCGGCCATGCGCAGCCATGCCATGCGACAATGCTTTGCAAGGACACAGGACCAATCCGGTCTCCGTTAGCCATGCTGCGCGCGGGAACTCGCTCTTACACACGCCCGGCTTATCAGCCCGCTCACACCCATGCAGTGGTATCCGTTCTCCTGTTTCGGCGTTGAGAGGGTGATGATGGTGCTGCTTCAAAAATTGCAGGCGTGTAACGTCTTCCTGCAAGTACTGCACTGCCCATGCCCTGGCTTCTTCTTTCTCTGGGACCAGCGAGTGGGCACTGCCTTGGCGTTGGTATGCAGGGCACTCAATCATGGCGAACCTTTCCTTGTGCTCTGGCCAGGACACTTCTGCCTCTGCAATTCCTTCCGCAACCTCCTCCGCACTGTGCCCTTCGTATGTGCCATGCATGACGTGGGCACTATATGCCAAATAGCTTGCTCTCAAAGATTTCAACCTTTGTTCCCCCAAGCAAAATATTTCCTCCAAAGCAGTATGTTGATGCAAGCATTGGACAAAGCATTGGCAATGTGCATGCAATGAGCCGGTCGATTTTTGTGCTTCGATGGTGACATAGGCTGCGTCCATGCGACCGAACACACCACCAACCAGCACAGCACTGCTACCGCTTTTGTCTTGGCACGGGGTGCATCCCGCGATTCCGACATTACAGTCAGGGCATGCCGGGCAGGCCCGCAACCCAAACAAATGCTCTAGGACCAAGAGCACTAACATTCGAAACCCATCTACACTAGCTAACGGATCCCGCGCCAATGTTTTGCGCCGCTGCTCCCACGTTGGCAACGCACGGCAAAATGTTTCGACATGCACTGGCAAAGTATAGTGGTCATCTAACGGCGGGTAGTCCTGCGCGCCTGCATCCCAATCTTGGAAAGCTGATGCACTCCGAACAGGATCGCTGAACCGAGTCCGGGACAAACGAATATAGAGCATTTGGTGCGCCTCATCGGGCGAAAACGTTACAAATATTGGGGTTCCAAAACGAATTCGCAAGGCTTCAATCTCGAAACGCATCCGCTTCCGTGCTTCTTGCGTCCCTGGCATGTCCTGCGCAGTGTGCCGCATGTTCTGCACCAACTTTCGGGCTGCTGGCTTGAGTCCACGGACGTATGGCAGTTTGCTTACATCCATATTGACGGGCTTGGGCTTTCCGCTCTTGCTTATGTAATTGCCTTTCAAGGCTTGCAGTAATTGCGTTGCCCCAGCTTCAATGTCTTCGGGCTTCAATCGACGCCACGTGCCTTCCCCCTCATCAAACACTGGCCCACTAAACACGGCCACGTTTCGACTCAAATTCAACGCTGATCGAAAATATAAGTTCCAAGCTGCGAACCCAAAAACCCAATCTCTGGCGATTTGCGATTCGCAGCGCCGCGCCATGATTTGAACCCATTCTCTGAGCTCCACGCGCGGTGCGTTCGCATCCCTCCGGTGCCGTTGCATCTCACTCCACGCTGGCGGGTCTGGCATACCAGTGCAAAACTTGAACACGTACGGGAAGGCACAGCCAAAATATTCCGGCCGAAACTGGTCCAAGAGTCTATTCCCTGTGCGCAGCACAAACTCTGCTTCGTGGTCTCTCCCTTCTCCTATGCTTCTCCCCGACGTTGCTTGGAGCGCCGACACATGCTGTGCATTGACATCTGTCAAGCCGACGCTTGTTTTCTCCGCCACAACCGCATTAGGCTTCATCATGTCTTTTAACTCTACCGCCAAGTCGTCCACTGCCATCTCTTCTCGCACTGGGGTTGCAGCCTTTTGCCGCATGATTCGGTTCAAATCATTATCGTACGGCAAGATGGCCACGAGCTCTTCCGGCACACCATCCTCCGGCAATGCCTCGGCTTGGCTATACATCGCTTCCATGCACACGCCTTGGAACGCAGGATGTCCTCTGGCAACCGCATCGGCAATCAGGCCAACCACAACCTTGCGCCGAACGCGCGCCTGATGCAGCAAACGACTCACATCTACCGTTTCCGTCTTGTTGCGTGCCGTTTTCACCAGCACGCGCACCATTTCCCGCAGAGTTTCGCCACTGTGCGGAAGCTTTACGCTAGTCGCCCTTGCCTGCAACGCAGGCTCTCCTCCCTTCTCCCCACCTGGCTCTAAGGCTTGCAATTGCTGGAGCAAGTCTTCCCACGCTAATGGGAAAGTCGTTGCATTGCCTCGCGCGGCCATGCGATGCCGGTTCATCCAGGCATCCTGGTCCAAGGCACGGTCCCCGCGAAGTTTTTGCTCCAAGCTGAAGCAAATCATGGTCGTTAAACAAGGGCTTGCACAAACCATCTCCATAACGGTCACTTCTTTCTGGCACGCATCTTTCGGCCCATAGTAGACCATCATGTCGTTGCTCAGCGCTGCGGCCGGGAGCTTCTTGTGCCAAACGAGATCCTGTTTGCAGCTGCGGCACAGCGGCACCCAACATTGAGGACACAGGGTTTGCTCGTTGCACCGCTTTGCGCAAACTTTGTCTTCGGGGCAACACAAGAGCTTCACTGATGCATTTCCCATCTGAACCTCACACGCCCAGTCCTGCAACTCATGCTTCATTTCTTGCTGTGCAAAGACCGTTTCATGCGCGACGTACCTTTGCATAAACGTTTCCATCCCTAGCAGCTTCTCTGCCTCTTCAGGCGACTGGCCAAATACCGTCTTGTCTTTTCCGTGAACCGGCTGTGCCCAAGTGACTTCTTGGTTGCGGCCACTGCGTATGTAAGGGTATTTCCTGGCACAAACAAAACAAAGCAAGGATACGATTTCGTCGCCTTCCCGTGCTTTCTGGAACTGCTGCAGCGCCCGGCGATCGATCGATGCATTCGCCACTGGGGCTCCTCCCTGACATTTCCACGTCAGGGCTGCACAATACAAGCTGACCATGGCTTCCACGCTTGCCTCCTCACCGGCGGCTTCTGTCAGGGTAGGCTTGTGCGCTTCCAGGATGTGCTCCAA